AAGCCCTACAAACCCCATGAATCATGTAAACTCCACCAGCCATAAAAGCCGTACAAACCTTACAAGCCCTACAGCCCTATACGCCCTAGAAGCCTGTAAACCCTCTCAACCCCCGTAAACCCCAGACCCCCTACCCCTCTGATGAATACGGAGCCCTGAGGCCCTGTCTCCTAAACCCTAGAGCCCTAAAGCGGGGTTTGGGGTTTAGGGTTTAGGGCTAGGGTGTAGGGTTTCGGGTTTAGGGTCCAGAACAGAAAAAAGTGTCCCCTTATTTAGGCAGGTCCTTGGCTTAGAGTACGCGGGAAGGAGTTGTGAGCACTGCCAACGCAATGCTTCCAGCTCCTTAGGTGCCCCACTCAGTGCAGGATCTGCGCCAGACATGTTCGTTCAGGGTTTAGGGTTTAGGGTTTAGGGTTTAGGGTTTGCCCAACACCCCTAAATTCTTAAACCCTTCTTCCCTTCAGCCCCTATACCCTTAAGCCCTTCAACCCGGAAGCCCTTATGCCCTTAAACCCGCCCGTACACCCTTCAACGGAAGTTTCCCGACCTTTTGAGGCTATGCCTGTCGATTCTGACTCGGTGTGTCTCCCCTACATCCGAGTTGATGGTCCTAAACCTTAAACCACCGCAAACCCCACCCTAAACCCTAAACCCTAAACCCTAAACCCGAAACGCCTAAGCCGTCAACCTGAAACACTCATTTCAACCACAAGGTCCATGTAGGGTCTTAAAGCTACGGGTTTGGGGGGATTTACGGTTGAGGGGACTCCCCTACGCACCCCTAAATACCTAAGCCCTTATGTTAACGACCCTGGGGAAGGTGCCTAGAGAACCTGACCTTAGGGAAGCTAAGGGAGCGAGCGCCCCCGCATACCCCTATGCGCGGTACAGTCACACTGCCAGCTTGCTGCGGATGTACTGTGCATAAGTGTCTCTCGCGGGGAGAAAGTTCTTTGCCCGCCCACCCTAAACCCTAAACCCTTAAACCCTAAACCCTAAACCCTAAACCCTTAACCCTAAACCCTAAACCCTAAACCTGCCCCAGGAAGGGTGGTGGGAGGCGGCGCACAGCTGCGCCGCAGACAGTCTTCGCTCCAAGAAGCGCGTAGGGCGCAGTGTCAACATTCACAGAGTTGTGCAGCCTCTCGCCAAAAAGAAGGCAGATCTGCTTTATTGTGTCAGTACTACTCAGCAGGCGCAGGAGGGTGACCTTAGGGAGGAGTGGGGAGCATTTTTAGAACCTTGGGTTTCACATCCCCTTGAACTCCCCTCCCTGACGAACCCTATGATTCTTGAAGGAACTCCCCAAAAGGATAAGGAACCTGCATGTATTCTGGAGGGACTGGAGTACCATGGGAGGGCCAGTTTTCGGGCTTTGCGGTTCAGGGTTTTGAGTTGAGTTGGATCACTTCCCTGGGAAGATAGTTGTGTCTGTCTGGCGTAGATCCGGGTCGCTAAACCAATGTGGCGGCAAAGCCGCCAGTTGCGAACATGCGCTCTGGCCTTTTTTTGAACTGGTCGCGAGCAGATCTTGATCCCGAAAATCTGAAAGTACACCCTAAACCCTAAACCCGAAACCCCAAACCCTAAACCCTAAACCCCAAACCCTAAACCCTAAACCCTGAACCCGTCAACATGGCCACACAAGTCCCCCGAACCACTCGACCCAACAAAGGCTCCAAGACGCAAGCCCTGTAGTCGATCACTTACATTGCAAACTGCGCCCATACCCTAAACCCTGAACCCCAAATAATACCCTAATCCCCTAACCCTAAACCCTAAACGCTCAAGGCTGGACCCCAACCCCTCTCAACCCCTCCATATCATTTGATCCTTTCCCATTAGGGTTTTAGGGTTTAGGGTTTAGAGTTGAAGAGGAAAGCATACTTGTTGACGCGTGAACTGCAGTCGACCGACCAGAGCGCACCCCCGAACCCCCAAATTAATGCTAAGCTCAGAGCCATGCTATTATTACTTAGCTCCTGCCCGCCAAAAGGCCGGGAATAGGAAGCAAGCTGATTCCCATGTTGGAAAAGACTTCGGCATCACTGCTCGGGGGTAAGGATCGCCGAATCAAAAGCAGCTAAGGGTTTAGGGTTTAGAATTTTGGGGTGTAGGGTTTAGGGTTTTAAGGTTTAGGGTTTAGAGTTTAGGGTTTAGGGTTTTAGGGTTTTAGGGTTTTAGGGTTTTAGGGTTTTAGGGTTTTAGGGTTTTAGGGTTTTAGGGTTTTAGGGTTTTAGGGTTTTAGGGTTTTAGGGTTTTAGGGTTTTAGGGTTTTAGGGTTTTAGGGTTTTAGGTTTTTAGGGTTTTAGGGTTTTAGGGTTTTAGGGTTTTAGGGTTTTAGGGTCTTAGGGTTTAAAGTTTAGGGTTCTACGGAAAACTCAATAGATAAATGATGCATACACATGCATAGAGACATGATTCTGTTGGAAGATCTGACCCCCGATTTTAGTAGGTCTCGGGGGTTGTGAGAGATATGGTTCAAGCAGGGCGCTTGAGGAGTTAAGCCAACAGGAGCTGCGCTTTGACCGTTTAGGGTTTCGTGAGCCTGGGCCGTAGTTTCCAAGCTTCCAAAGGCCAATATCGGTCAGGGACTTGATGCTGCAGGAACCCCCTCTGTCACGTTTTTGTAAAGGGCTTCGAGTTAGGACCAGGGGTTGAAGGCCTTTAGGGTTCAAGGGTTACTGGGTTTGGGGTTTTGGGCTTACGGCCTTAGGGTGCTCCCTCAGATAGAGCCCTTCATTCTCTTCTTTGTCACAGGAAACCACGGTAATGAGTCCCTGCATCAGAATGGTGTAGGTTTGTGGTTTAGGGTTGCAGGGTAAGGGTTGAGGGCTCAGGACTTAAGTTGCACACCCACATGTAGATTCTTTCATGAGGCACCTTCAGATTTAACGAGCCATGCAAAGCGCTTCCCAAGTGGAACTATGTCCCTACTCACTCAACCCCATACCCTAAACCCGAAGCCCTAAGCCTTAAACCCCAAGGCCCAAACCTCAGATTCAAAGTTCTTTGGGAATCCAAGGCTTTGAGTTAGTGATGCTTTGAAGCTGGATCGTAGGGACTCATGGCTAGGGTTTCAGGTTTAGGGTTTAGGGTTTCGGGTTAGGGTCTAGGGTCTAGGGTCTAGGGTCTAGGGTCTAGGGTCTAGGGTCTAGGGTTTAGGGTTTAGGGTTTAGGGTTTAGGGTTTAGGGTTTAGGGTTTAGGGTTTAGGGTTTAGGAACCCATGAACTTTGAAGGGGGTTTAGGGTTTAGGGTCTAGGGTCTAGGGTTTAGGTTTAGGTTTCTGAGCGTCCGGGGCGCACAAGCCTCAACTCCTGAACTTGAAGCCCTAAAGAGCACCAAGCTTTCCAACCCTGAGCATTCCTGAACTTGGCCATGGCTTTCTCGGAATCCTAAACTGGTTTAGGGTTTAGGGTTTAGGGTTTAGGGTTTAGTGTTTAGGGTTTAGGGTTTAGGGTTTAGGGTTTAGGGACACCCTAAGCTCTAGAACAAGCTCGCAACCCTGCAGACTTTGCGAGGCCAGGGTCGCGAGCCTCGCCCCCTCTAACCCGGGCATTTAGGGACCTAGGGTTTGGGGTTGAGGGTTTAAGGTTTAGGGTTTAGGGTTTAGGGTTTAGGGTTTAGGGTTGCCGGCGTTGCAGGGTTTAAGTTGAGGGTTTAGGGTCTGGCATTCACAGGGTTGCAGGGTTTCGAGGATGTGGAGTTCACGATGCTCAGGGGGTTGCGGCTATAGGCTTTTGTTTAAAGGGTTTGGTTGGGAGTTTAGGTTCAGGGCGCAGGGAGTTTGGGGCACCCTGAACCCACAACCCTCGACCCTCAACCCGAAGCCCTAAACCCTAAACCCTAAACCGCAAACCCTAAACCCTAAACCCTAAACCCTAGACCCTAAACCCACGTCCATGATCTTTGCACTTGTGCCGCGGCCAGCTCGGGGCTTCCAGCAGCAGTTTTGACGGGGGGAGTTGCTGCCTTCGTTCGTCTTACTGGGCGTCCTGACTGCAATCTTTCTCTTGGGATTTAGGGTTTAGGGTTTAGGGCTTAGGGCTTGGGGTTTGGGGTTTGGGGTTTGGGGTTTGGGGTTTAACTGACAAGGTTAGTTCAGGCTCCCTTGAGAAGCCTAGACCCTAGACCTAAACCCAGAGGGTCTTATGCATTTGGAGTATCGCACCCGTGCAGAAAACAAAACTCCCAAGCCCTACACTACAGCCAACAAGCCCCAAACATAAACCCTAAACCCCACACCCTGTATGACTTTAAGCACGGATCCTTGCATACTTCAAGGTAAAACTAGTTCCCCCGTTGAGATCATGAAGGTACCCTCAGGTCCATATCAAGGGGTACTTAAGGAGCAAAACACTTGCTAAACGCTACTGTTACTATTATCTTTATCAGTATCTCCTTGCAAGCTTTATTAATTAGGTTGCGGGTGACACGTCCTGGCCTTTTCGCGGCATAGCGCTTGCAACAGAGCCCTTTCCTCTGCCTCCGAAACAGGCGGGATGCGACAATTGTGACATACGTAAACCCTAAACCCTAAACCCTAAACCCTAAACCCTAAACCCTAAACCCTAAACCCTAAACCCGGGGTGGGTGGGGGGAAGTGGGCACGGGACCCTGAGACATACCGGGGTCTTGATTCACCGCCCTCTATGAACACAATGAACAACTGCCCTCAACCCTTCATCCTGCACCCTAAACCCTCGAAACCCTCATCCCATTCTGAGTAGCTGAGCAGGTAACCTTTAACCTCTTGGGTATATACAACCCTACCATCATTGAAAGGTTAACCTTTTTTGGGCCCAGTGTACTCAGCAACTCAGCATTCCCTAAACCCTAAACCCTAAACCCTAAACCCTAAACCCTAAACCCTAAACCCTAAACCCTAAACCCTAAACCCTAAACCCTAAACCCTAAACCCTAAACCCTAAACCCTAAACCCTAAACCCTAAACCCTAAACCCAAACCCTAGCCCCCGCAAGTTCTGGGCCAAGGAACCATGCGTCGCACGGCACTTTGCCTGGGGTCTGTGGCACTGGCCAGCGGCAAGGCCCCAATGTCTTCGTAGCCCAGTGGTACCCTTTTCCCTTTTTTGGGTTAGGGTTCAGGGTTCAGGGTTGAAGGTTTAGGGTTGAGGGTTTAGGTTTTAGGGTTCCTTAGTTGAATATGGCTTGTGGGCTAGCAAGGTGTAGGGTTTCGGGCTGAGTTAGGGTTCAAGTTTCTCGGGTTTGGGGTTCCGTTGTTTAGGGTTCTGGGTTTAAGGCTCAGGGGACAAGGGTTCAGGGTTTTTGTGGTTCGACTGTTTAGGTTTCAGGGGTTACTTTGTCATAGTTGGGTAACATTTTACATTTTTAAGGATACTTAAACCCAATAAGGAAAAAGACTCAACATTTTAATCATATCCCAACCATGAACTAGGTTAGGGTTTCTCAGGTTTAGGGTTTTTCTGTGTAGGGATTCGGTGCTAAGAGTTGCTTGATTTGCTAGTCCAAGGCGTGAAAGCAGTTGGATTGTCGGGGTTTGAGAGCTGAGGCTTGTTCAGGTTATGGTACCAACCCCCTAAGGCCCTAAAATCCCTAAAATCCCTAAACCCCTAAACCCTAAACCCTAAACCCTAAACCCTAAACCCTAAACCCTAAACCTAAACCCTAAACCCTAAACCCTAAACCCTAAACCCTAAACCCTAAACCCTGAACCCTACGATTGGCCCTCCTTGAGGCCCCCAAACCCCATGGGGTCAGGTGTACTTTTCCGAGACCTTCGGTGATGGCTGGGAGCCTCTTGGCCTACCCAGTTCGGGTTTCGGGTTTAGGGCTAGGGTTTAGGGTTTGGGGTTTGGGGTTTCGGGTTTCGGGTTTCGGGTTTCGGGCCAGCACGGCTCGGGTCGTAGGATTTCCTGCTTGAGGCTTAGGGTGCTCAAGGTGGTCTTGTCAAAAAAACCTTAAACCCTCAACCCTAAACCCTCAAGTAGCCCTGTATGCCTTGCTTGCGCTGCTTCGTTTTTGCTTGGCCGCTGCTTGAGGCCCTGCACCACACCCTTTGCATGCCTTTGCCAGGGTTTTAAACTAACATTCTATGCAGGGAATCGTGCTACCTATAAACCCTTTTAAACCCCAAAAAATCTGAATCCCAAACCATCAGCTCCGAAGAGTTCATCCCTGAGCCCCCAAAGCCCTCGAAAACCCTGGGCCCCTAAGCCTTTAGAGCCCTTAGTACTTCCCAAAACCCTCAACCCTAAACCCGAAACCCGAAACCCTAAACCCTAAACCGCCTAAACCGCCTAAACCCTAAACCCTAAACCCTAGGAGCCGATGGACGCCCAGCGAGTGGAAGAAGAGCGACGGCACCCAGGGCACCTGGCAGCTCTCGGCGGGCAAGTGGCCACTGGGCGCCAGGGTTTATGGGTTTAGTTTAGGGTTTAGGGTTTAGGGTTTAGGGTTTAGGGTTTAGGGTTTAGGGTTTAGGGTTTAGGGTTTAGGGTTTAGGGTTTAGGGTTAGGGTTTAGGGTTTAGGGTTTAGGGTTTAGGGTTTAGGGTTTTTGGTTCAAGGTTTAGGGTTTAGGGAGCTCAGGGCTTAGTGGGGCTTGGGGAGTGTAGGGCTTAGGAAGTCAAAAGTTCAGGGTCTCGGGCTGAGGGTTTTGCCGGTGCAGGGTTCGGAGCAGGCAGGGCCAGGCAGGGGTGTTGGTTTCAGGGTTTAGGGTTTAGGGTTTAGGGTTTAGGGTTTAGGGCTACGTAAGGTTTAGGATGTCGATGATGGGGGTCGTAGGCCTACGTAAGGGTTGTAGGGGTGTAAGGTGCAGATTTCAGGGTTCAGAGTTCAGGGTTTAGGGTTTAGGGTTTAAATCCTCAACCCCAAAGCCCTGAAAACCGCCTAAACCCTCGAAGGAGGACTTGATCTAAATTCATGAGGTTTAGGGTTTAGGGAACCCCAGACCCTAAACCCTAGACCCTGCCCTTAAACGAACCCTAACCCTGGACCCCCCAGGGTTAGGGTTAGGGCTTAGGGTCTTAGCTCAAGTCAATACATGCAGAAACAAGGGACCTATGAAGCGCCCATCCACCACCACAGTGGGTTTAGAGCTTCGGGTTTGCTGTTTAGGTTTAGGGTTTAGGGTTTAGGGTTTAGGGTTTAGGGTTTAGGGTTTAGGGTTTAGGGTTTAGGGTTTAGGGTTTAGGGTTTAGGGTTTAGAGACACCTGGAGGCGCACGTCTGATGCTGTGCCTAGGTTCGCCAATGAGGCTGAGGACAAGGGCGTGCAGACCGCAGAGGACTCTCGGTTCCTTGGCACCAAGCCCTAAACCCTAAACCCTAAACCCAAAACCCTAAACCCTAAACCCTAAACCCCTAAGCCAGAAACCCTTTTCCAAAGTAGTGTCCAAGCATGACTCTACTTGCCATAAGGTGCCTACTTAGGTGTCTTGCTGGTATGAGGAGAAGGGGATCAGCATTGAGGGTTTGTTTCTTCAGGTTTTCCTGTGGTGGAGAGGACTGGGGAGTTGCCCTTCAGCCACGAGCCCCTCATGTGGTGCATTCTGCATACGGTGCAAGTGTGTGGTAAACCATGAACCCGCTCTGCAGAAGCTTAAACTTAGGGGTCGTCTTGCAACAGGAACGCTCTAGAACTTTCTGGACTGACGAAGTTGTGTCACCAAGGTTCTTCGGCCTCTCCGCTGGCTTCGACTCCTTCAGCAACGAGGGCAAGGAGCTGATCATCCAGTACCAGGCGAAGTACGAGAAGGACATCGAGTGCGGCGGCGGCTACGTCAAGGTCGGGCCAAAGCTCAGCGATCCCAAGTCGTTCGGTGACCCCACGCCGTACAACATCATGTTCGGCCCCGACAAGTGTGGCTACACCAAGCGCACGCACCTGATCTTCAGCTACAAGGGCAAGAACGTGTTGAAGAAGTCGGACCTGGCATACAAGCAGGAGGGCGAGGGCACTTCTCACGTGCAGCTTGGCACAAGGTGCCATATGTGACCGTGTCTCCGCTAATGCATACGCATGCAGAGTAGTTTCAGCTGCTAATTCGCACGTATGCCCTTCGGTGTCGCATCTTGTTGGAACGTGTGCTTCTGAGGTACAGGCTGACCCTGAAGCCCGACAACACCGCGAAGGTGGAGATCGACGGCGAGAGCATCTACGAGGGCTCCTTGAAGGAGGACTGGGAGCTCTTGGCGCCCAAGGAGATCAAGGATCCCGAGGACAAGAAGCCCAGCGACTGGGTCGATGACAGCATGATGGACGACCCCGAGGACAAGAAGCCAGACGGCTGGGTCGAGGAGAAGCGCATTGTGGACGCCAAGGCCAGCAAGCCGGATGACTGGGACGACGAGGAGGACGGCGAGTGGGAGGCGCCCATGATCGACAACCCCGAGTACAAGGGCGAGTGGACCGTGAAGCGAATCTCCAACCCAGCCTACAAGGGCTTCTGGGAGGCCAAGAAGATCGCCAACCCAGAGTACGTCGATGACGACAGCCTCTACAAGTACGATGACTTCGGCTTCATCGGCTTCGACTTGTGGCAGGTGAAGGGCAACACCATCTTCGACAACGTCATCATCACGGATGACGCCACTTAGCCGATGTGGTTCAGGGAGCATGGCATCCTAAACCTGAAGCCCTTGAGATATACCACATAGTGCTTGGCACCCTCAACCCTAGGCTCCCAAGACCCGAAAACACCACCTGAAAGTCCTAAACCCCGCACCCCAAACCCTCAATCCCAAACCCCGAACCCTAAACCCGAAACCCTAAACCCTAGAATCCGAAACCCTAAAACCTAAAACCCTAAATCCTCGAGGTCAAAGAGGCCGATGCCTTTGTAGCGAAGTGGAAGGCACTCAGCGAAGTGGAGCAGGACGGAAGGAGGGTTTTGCTAGGTTTTAGGGTTTTGCGCTTAGAGCTTAGGGTCTAGGGCTAGGGTTTAGGGTTTAAGGCTTAGGGCTAGATAGGGTTTAGGGTTTAGTTTATAGGAATTGGCTGTCAGGGCGTTTGCAAGAGTTTGGGGTTCAGGGTTTAGGGGTTTCACCCCTTTGTTCAGGGGTAGAGCGTACTTGCTTAGCCTAAACCCTCAAGCCCTGAACCCCAAACCCTAGACCTGTAACAAAACTATTGCCTGGAGATCCATCACCTGAATCCTAAGCCCTGTGTTGCCATATGATCAGTTCACTATTTATGGCCCCAATTGGGGTTGAGGGTTTAGGGTTTAGGGTTTAGGGTTTAGGGTTTAGGGTTTAGCTTCCTAATTTGGAGGGGCCGCCTTGTAATAAGCACCCCAAAAGGGGCCATAGTTCTGAGAAGTGACCATATGTGATCAGTTTAGGGCGCCCAAAAAGGCACCCTCATTTAGAGAACTTACTATATAGCCAATAGTTTAGCTGTCAACTTTGTGGGGTTTCCTCATGTTGTAGGATGATCTTGAACTTTTTAAGTACTCCTTGGTTTTGGGGGATTCAGAGTGGAGCCCTATAAGCTCCTTTACCAGGGCACCCTCTCTTGATTCCCAGGAGTGGGGGGGGGGGGGTTTCCGAAATTAGGGGGACCTTGTTGGGGTCCTTATGAGAAGGGGGATCCTACTCTTTGGGGATCTATACTTGTGGATCCCCCCTATGTTCGTAAACCGCCGGGTTGCTTAGGGTTTAGGGTTTAGGGTTTAGGGTTTAGGGTTTAGGGTTTAGGGTTTAGGGTTTAGGGTTTAGGGTCTAGGGTTTAGGCTTTAGGGTTCAGGGTTTAGGGCCTGGGGTTCCTGACGAAGCGCCCTGGGCCCTATGAGACCCTTCCGGGCAAGTGCCAGGCCAAGAAGAAGGAGGAGGACGAAAAGAAGGCTGAGGCGCTCCAATCCTCCCTCCCCCCCCCCCCCCCCCACAAAAACAAAATGGAAAACGAAACCCAAAGGGTTTACGGTTAGGGTTTAGGGTTCAGGGTTTCGGTTTTCGGGTTTCGGGCTTCGGGCTTCGGGCTTCGGGATTCGGGCTTCGGGTTTGGTTTAGGGTTGTTCAGGGTTTAGGGTGTGACTAGGGTTTTGGGCTATAGGGCCCAGAGCCCCCAAACAAAACACCCAGCGACCCAGATCATGAAAGCCCTGAGTCCTGACTCAATCCTTCAACCCTAAACCCCTAAACCTCTAAACCCCCAAACCCTAAACCCTAAACCCTAAACCCTAAACCCTAAACCCTAAACCCTTTCAGTTCGAGGACCCTGAGCTTGGTAGCCCAGTGGTACCCTCTACTTCTTTTTTCGGTTGTGGGTTCCCGCATAAAATAACCAACCCAAAAATGGGTGCCCTTATTAGGGTTTAGGGTATAGGGTTCCTGGGCTACCAAGTGAACCTAAGCCCTACAACCCACCGCAAGCCCTCGACCCTTAAATATGACCTCAAGCCCTCAACTCCGTCGGGGCTTGAGGTGTAAGGATGCTAGGATTATGACCCCTGATTCAGCCACAGAGAGCACGTTGCCAATTTTTTTTTTTTTATATGGAAAGTTTATGTTTTAAATATGATTTTGGGATTTCTTGATTTATGATATTTTTACGATTTGGTTTATGATTCTCTTCGATTTTATGAAAAATTTATGATTTTTTTTTTTATGAAAAATTTATGTTTTCGTCGATTTTATGAACATTTTATTATTTTTTAATGAAAATTTTATGTTTCTCATCAGTTCGCATCATTTTCAATGCAGAAACACCCAAAACTGACCAAAACCATAAAATTTTCATAAAAAATCATAAAATTTTCATAAAATCGACGAAAAAACAAAAATTTTTCATAAAAAAAATCATAATTTTTTCATAAAATCGAAATGAATCATAAACCAAATCGTAAAAATATCATAAAGTCAAGAAATCCCAAAATCATATTTAAAACGTAAATTTTCCATATAAAAAATTGTTCCTTGAATCGTGGCTCTGGCTACACATCCAGTGTCATAATGCTAGGATGGGTCTAGGGTCTGGGGATTTGGGTTTAGGGTTCAGGGTTACCGGGTTTAGGGTTTAGGGTTACCGTGTTTAGGGTTGAGGGTTAGCGGGTTTAGGGTGAGTTGCCCCTAAGGTCTTTCTACTTTCAGGGGCGTTGAGGCATCCCCTTCGTCCAAACTCTCAAGTGGCTTCGAAGTCCGATTCGGACCCTACACCGCTACAGAGTTATTTTGGCCCTTTTAAAAACGAAAAGACCCTCCCCCCCCAAAAAAACAAAGAGATTAAATGATATGTATATAGTCATACTGACAATCATAGCTGTAAATTACTAAGAATAGTTATAACTAACAAATACCATGAAGAAGGAACCTCTCTCAAAACTTCCGAAGAAGGCCCTTGTGACGATGATGGTATATGAATGTGATGATCATGGCAAATCCTAAACCCCTGCCCAGAGGCCAAAAAGGCCTGAATAATTGCTAATAGTATTCCGTTAGGGTCCCTATATTTTTGTACAAAAATGACCCCCAAAAACTGTCGGCAGCAAGGGGTCAAGGCGAAGCGTCGAATCATATTTGTTTTTGAACTGGGTGGGGTTTTGGGGTTTAAGGGAAGGGAGAGCAAGTTTGTGATGTTCGACAAACAGGGGTGCCTTTGACGTGCCCTCTTTTGTGGCCTGGGGCGGCGGTTGCTTCTCACGGAGATGATGTTGCTCGAGAGTATGGCCAATTGGGCGCTGTGAACTCCCAAGCGGCGAGCAGCAGCGCGTTGCGAAGGTTACCCTAAACCCCCTGAATTCCCGACATTCCCTGAACCCCCAAACACCCTAAACCCCCCTAAGCCCCCCTAAATCCCCCTAAATCCCCCTAAACCCCCCTAAACCCCCCAAACCCAACGCGGCAGGAAGCCAAAAGTGCCGCGGCCTCCAAGGACGACGACGACGATGCAGCTCGTCTGTCCCAAACCCCAAACCCAAAACCCTCAACCCTCAACCCTCAAACCTCAACCCTAAACCCTCAAGCTTCTCTACCCTAAACCTTAAACCCTAAACCCAAAACCCCAAACCCTATAAACCTAAACCCGAACTCTGACAGTCGCCGACGTCAGGGCTAAGCCCTTAGAAACCCCCATTGAACCATGGGGTTTTCGGGCACTTTAGAGTGTATAGAGGGTCTTCTGGCTTTAGGGTTTCGGGCTTCAATGACCCGAATGCCCTAGCCCAAGGATGACAAAGACGAGGAGGAGGACTGAGCAGAGGCGCTTGGCACGCAGCAGCCCAGAAACGTTTCTTTTTGGGAGTTCGGAGGAGGAGTTTATGGGGGTTTGGGGATTCTTCAGGGTTTGCAGGATCATTTCATTTTTTTTTTTGGGGGGGGGGGGGGGGCATTTAAACCGGAACCCTATAGGGGGTAGCGGCAGGTAAGGGGTTTGAGGGGTTTGGGGTAGAAGCGCAAGTGCCCACCTGGTCAGTTCTGAACTCATGGCCCCGTTCTTGTTCGGGTTCCGTTTTTTGTTAAACCCCCGAAACACGCCACAAGCCACAAACCCTAGTAGGGTTTGAGCCCGAAAAGGTTCCAAGGCCTCCGACCCAAATGCGGAAGGCAACCTTAGCGTCTAGTAGGGAATGTTGGGAAATGGACACCGTCATAAGAACCCGAAACCCGAAAGCCTAAACCCTAAACCTTAAACCCTAAACCCTAAACCCACGACGCGAGGTGCACAAAAAAAACAAAAACACAGAGACTTAGCAGTGACATGGAAGGGACCACGGCTCTGGCTGCGGATGAAGAGAAATGCTCGAACACCCCCCCCCCCACCACTACCCTAAACCCCTCCTGAGTTTAGGGTTTAGGCTTTTAGGGTTTAGGGTTTAGGGTTGAGGGAGCCGCGGGTACGATTTGGGGTGTAGGAGTCTAGGTTGAAGGTTTAGGGTTTAGGGTTTAGTATGTTGGGTGTGGGATCTAGGACTCAGAAATCAAGGGAGATGTGCGGGAACACCGGATGGTCGTCGCTGATGATGCGTCGGGAGGTGCCACATGATTAGGTCTTCGGTCTTGCAAAGCCCTTATAAGCCCTGAACAAACCCTAAACCCTAAACCCTAAAGCCTAAACCCTAAAACCCTAAACCCTGAACCCTATAAACCCTAAACCCTAAACCTGAACCCACAAGCATGTCAGTGTTTTGGGGCGCGTCCTCCTTTGCCAGAGCCAGAGCCCGGATTGACTCCTCTCAGTGCAGCGCCCAGCACGCGCTCCAGACGGAAGATTTGGAACAGCCGGCTGGTCAGCACCACAACTGAAGCCCGATAGCCCTGAACCTCAGGCTTCATAGGGTTTAGGGTTTAGGGTTTGGAGTTTAGGGTTTAGGGTTTAGGGTTGACGGTAGGCTCAAGCTCTGGAACCAGAACATCTCCCCTACAAGACCCTCAGCCCTGCATCAATACAAAAGGGTGTCCTCTTCATGTCTTTTCTATCTCCAACTTCCTGCGGAACCCAGTTTAAACCCCAAACCCCAAACCCCAAACCCCAAACCCCAAACCCCAAACCCTAAACCCTAAACCCTAAACCCTAAACCCTAAACCCTAAACCCTAAACCCTAAACCCTAAACCCTAAACCCTAAACCCTAAACCCTAAACCTAAACCCTAAGCCCTACACCTTGCACTAAGCCAAGAGAACCTTCTCGAGGAAGGGAGGAGCAACTCCCAAGTTTGTCTGGAAGGCTCAGCATTTCACAGCCTGCACCCAAACGAACCCACTGGGCTGCAATCCTGCTAGAGGGTTTAGAGTTTAAGGTTTAGGGTTTAGGGTTTAGGGTTAGGGATTTCAGGGCTTTCGGACCTTATAGGCGTTGTGGACCTTGTAGGCGTTGTGGGGTTTACAGTTTCCGTAGGGCTTGCAAATTTGTAATGCCCTCAAGAGCGTGCTATGTTAGGGTTTAGGGTTTAGGGTTTAGGGTTTAGGTTTTAGGTTTTAGGGTTCGGGGTTTAGAGTTTAGGGTTTAGGGTTGAGGGTTTAGGGTTTAGGGTTTAGGGTTGTGAAGTTCACGTCATGCCTCCAGCGAAAGTCCTCATGCCAAAGTATGTGTCCTGGGCAGCTTGTCATGGTTGGCTTCCCTGCACTGTAGACCCGCATGGTCTCGCGGCGAAGGATAATCACGGATGGTTAGTCTGAACCCTATACGCCCTAGAAACCCTACACCGTGATGGTGTAAGATTGTCGAAATCCTGAAAGCCAAAGCTGCCAAGATTCTCGAAGCCCTGAAAGCCGAACCTGCTGAGCCTTCCACCCTAGTTTAGGGATGACCACAAAAACCCCGGCAGCTGCAAATTGTGCAGCTTGCACAGACTCCACAGCGCAAAACCTCCAGGGCCGTCTGCGTTTAGGGTTTAGGGTTTAGGGTTTAGGGTTTAGGGTTTAGGGTTTAGGGTTTAGGGTTTAGGGTTCAGGGTTCAGGGTTTAGGGCGAGGGGTAGGGGCATGGGGAAGGAGTTTCCATGAAGACCTACCGCCTTCGGCTGGCGCCGAGTTCAGGGTAACGTGCTCACTTAAAGTCTTGCATTGTTGTATCCCATCAACCTGATGTAACTCGACCCTGAAAGTCCAAACCCGAGAACGTCGCCAAACCTTCACCCCTAGAACCCTAAGCAACCCCAACTCTAAACCCTAAACCATAAACACGAAACCCGTTACCAAGCCCTAAACCCTAACAACGCTCCTGGATTTGGGATCCATACTTGAGTTTCTAGAGGCCACTTTGTTTGGAAATTTTTAGGGGTGTTTTACAATAGGGGGTAAGGCTTTAGGGCTCGGCGTACGCTGCGCCCCAGGCCTTCAAACCCAAGCCCACATCCCAACCCCAAGCCCCAAAGCCCCCTAAATCCCAAAACCCTAAACCTCAAACCCCCAAAGCCTAAACCCTCAAAAGCGTCCCCTGAGTTGTGCATCTAAACCCTGACAACCCCTTCCCAACCCCTAAACAACCCCTAAACAACCCCTAAACCCCCTAAACCCCCCTAAACCCCCCTAAACCCCCCTAAACCCCCCTAAACCCCCCTAAACCCCCCCTAAACCCCCCTAAACCCCCCCTAAACCCCCCCCAAACCCCAAACACCCCGAAACCCCCTAAAAACCCCCCTAAACCCTAACCCCCTACCCCCCCTAAACCCCCCTAAACCCCCTAACCCCCCTAAACCCCCCTAAACCCCCCTACACCCCCTAAACCCCCCTAAACCCCCCTAAACCCCCCTAAACCCCCCTAAACCCCCCTAAACCTGAACCCCAAAACCCCAAAACCCCAAAACCTTGCGCAGCAATTGCGCTCCCCGAGTTTTGCATCCTCCCGGTTTCCGGCACGCCTGAGACTCAGCAGCTGAGTGAGCACACTTTACACTTTTTGGGATACTCTAAGCCCCTATAGAATCTGAAAGTGTGCACTTTTTGGGGGCCTATGAACTCAGCCCTAAACCCTAAACCCTAAACCCTAAACCCTAAACCCTAAGAACTCAGCAACTAAGGAGAGAAAACCATGCGCCGCACCGCGGTCTGCCTCAGCTCCCTGGCCCTGGCCAGCGGGAAGGCGCCATCTGGGGGGGGTTTAGAGTTTAGGGTTTAGGGTTTAGGGTTTAGGGTTTAGGGTTTAGGGTTTAGGGTTTTAGGGTTTTAGGGTTTTAGGGTTTAGGGTTTAGGGTTTAGGGTTTAGGGTTTAGGGTTTAGGGTTTAGGGTTTAGGGTTTAGGGTTTAGGGTCTAGCTTCGGGCCTGTCAGGGATCCTCGTGTCCATGACAATAGCCAATAGCCGCGAGACCCTGAACCATGTCACCCTAAACCCTAAACCCTAAACCCTAAACCCTAAACCCTAAACCCTAAACCCTAAACCCTAAACCCTAAACCCTGAGCCCCAAAATCCCCAAAATGCCAACAACTCGGAGACCCTGAAACCCCAAGACAAGAAGAACCTAAGCAAACCCGTGTTGACAACCCCTAAGCCCTAAGCCCTACTGCGATCATGGGTTTAGGATTTGGGGCTTGGATTTGGGATTGCTTTAGGGTTGAGGGCTTGTGGTTTCGGAGGGGGTTGGGATCGAGGATGGGTTTAGGGTTGAGGGTTGAGGGTTTAGGGTTTAGGGTTTAGTGTTTAGGGCTTAGCGACTAGGGTTTAGGGTTTAGGGTTTAGGGTTTAGGGTTTGGGTTTAGGGTCTAGGGGTTGCCCGATGGGCAGGTCTACTTCTCCGAGACGTTCGGCGATGGCTGGGAGCACCTGGTCTGATGCCCCAACCCCGAACTCCAATTATCGGGTTCTTAGGGGGGGGGGGGGGGGGGGGGTTCATGGGGTGTGGTTGTTGAGGGTCAGGGTTTAGGTTTTAATTGTTTTTTGTGGGAGGGGGGGGGGGGGGGTGTTCATGGGTGGCTTTGTATTCATGGGCAGCGGTTCGGGTGTCAGGAAGAATGGCCCAGCCTTTGATGCGACGGTCCGGCCCCAAACCTACACATGAAACCCTGCAACCCTACACCCTACACCCTACACCCTAAACCCTAAACCCTAAACCCTACACCCTAAACCCTAAACCCTAAACCCTACACCCTAAACCCTAAGCCCTCAACCCTAAACCCTAAACCCTAAACCCTAAACCCTAAACCCTAAACCCTAAACCCTAAACCCTAAACCCTAAACCCTAAACCCTAAACCCTAAACCCTAAACCCTAAACCCTAAACCCTAAACCTAACCCTAAACCCTAAACCCTAAACCCTAAACCCTAAACCCTAAACCCTAAACCCTAAACCCTAAACCCTAAACCCTAAACCCTAAACCCTACACCCCACCCTAGACACACCCAGGAGCCGATGGACACCCAGCGAGTGGAAGAAGAGCGACGGCACCCAGGGCACCTGGCAGCTCTCGGCGGGCAAGTGGCCACTGGGCGCCTTGAGGGTTCGTGGGTTCCTAAACCCTGAACCCTAAACCCTAAACTAGATGGTTTGGGGTGTAGGGTTTAGGGTTCAGAGTTAGAGTTTAAAGGTTTAGGGTTTAGGGCTTGGGGTTTAGGGTTCAGGGTTCAGGGTTTAGGGTTTAGGGTTTAGGGTTTAGGGTTTTTACGGTTTTTCAGGTGCAGGGTTGGGAGGATTTAGTTCCCTCAACCCTAAACCCTAATTAAACCCTAAGCCTTAAATCGGACCCTAGGTTTGGGGTTTAGGGTACATCCCTCTAAGCCCCCCGAAAAGCTTTTACTTGGCCACCAACTGAGCTTTAAGCTTGAGGTTTGCCAACGAGGCGGAGGACAAGGGCGTGCAGACTGCAGAGGACTCGAGGCCCGCGGCCTCTTACGTTTAGGGTTTGGGGTTTGGGGTTAAGGGTTTAGGGCTTGGGGTTTGGGGTTTCGGGTTTTGGTTTAGGCTTGCGGGTTTAGGGTTTTAACGTTTACGGTTTACGTTTCAGGGTTGTTTACGAAAACGGTTTCTCGGTGTCTCAAAAGGCTTTTTCAAATGTGAGAGGTTTGAAGGGTCTGAGTGGCTCAACGTTTAGTAACGGGCCCTTCTTGTGCGAACTTCTGCCCAACAGTAGCAGCAGAGGTTCTTCGGCCTCTCCGCTGGCTTCGACTCCTTCAGCAACGAGGGCAAGGAGCTGATCATCCAGTACCAGGCGAAGTACGAGAAGGACATCGAGTGCGGCGGCGGCTACGTCAAGGTAGGGCCAAAGCTCAGCGATCCCAAGTCGTTCGGTGACCCCACGCCGTACAACATCATGTTCGGCCCCGACAAGTGCGGCTACACCAAGCGCACGCACCTGATCTTCAGCTACAAGGGCAAGAACGTGTTGAAGAAGTCGGACCTGGCATACAAGCAGGAGGGCGAGGGCACTTCTCACGTGCAGCTCGGCACAAGGTGCCATATGTGGCCGTGTCTCCGCTAATGCACACGCATGCAGAGTAGTTTCAGCTGCTAATTCGCACGTATGCCCTTCGGTGTCGCATCTTGTTGGAACGTGTGCTCCTGAGGTACAGGCTGACCCTGAAGCCCGACAACACTGCGAAGGTGGAGATCGACGGCGAGAGCATCTACGAGGGCTCCTTGAAGGAGGACTGGGAGCTCTTGGCGCCCAAGGAGATCAAGGATCCCGAGGACAAGAAGCCCAGCGACTGGGTCGATGACAGCATGATGGACGACCCCGAGGACAAGAAGCCAGATGGCTGGGTGGAGGAGAAGCGCATCGTGGACGCCAAGGCCAGCAAGCCGGATGACTGGGACGACGAGGAGGACGGCGAGTGGGAGGCGCCCATGATCGACAACCCCGAGTACAAGGGCGAGTGGACCGTGAAGCGAATCTCCAACCCAGCCTACAAGGGCTTCTGGGAGGCCAAGAAGATCGCCAACCCAGAGTACGTCGATGACGACAGCCTCTACAAGTACGATGACTTCGGCTTCATCGGCTTCGACTTGTGGCAGGTGAAGGGCAACACCATCTTCGACAACGTCATCATCACAGATGATGTTGCTCGGCCCTAAACCCCAAACCCTAAACCCTGAACCCTGAACCCTGAACCTTGCAGATGTCCACTTGGGGCTTGAGGGGATCGCTTGAGGGTCTTTGCGGCTTGGGCGCTTGATATATGTTTGGGTTTATCGGTTGCGGCTGAAACTTGGGTTTCGGGGTTCAGGGCCTAGGAAAGTAAATGAGCACACGGGTCATTGCTGGTTCTCGAACGAGGGAAGTTTGGGGCTTCAGGAGCTTGTCTACGTGTGGCTAGGCAGAGTAGTTCCTACACATTTCGGTGTTTTGCGAACTGTATGGCTTTGTTGCTTGTTGCCAGAATGCCACAAGCTCAGTGTCTTCTCCGGCGGTGTGTCCATTAAGGAGCACTCATATTGCAAGAAGTCCAGTTCTAATCTTGGGACTGTTCCAAGCGCATTAGGACGCCATACAGCTCCGAACCCATGCCTCAGCCCTCAACCCAAACGCTAAACTCCATAAACCTGAAACCCTAAACCCCAAACCCTAAACCCTAAATCCTAAACCTGAAATCACATCAACCTGGACCACTTTCCGGTGGGTTTAGGGTTCCGGGCGAGGGGGGCCCAGACCCTAAAACCCGAAAACGCTAAACAGCGCCCCTTCCCAAGCCTCTCCAAACCCTCCTATGCTTACGAAACCTCCTTAAGGACTTCAAACCCTGTACCCTAAACCCTGAACCCGAAACCCTAAACCCTAACCCCTAAACCCTAAGCCCTACACCTCCGAAACCCCCCAAGACATCCCTCCCCAAAGCTCAGCCCCAAGCTGAGGTGAAGGAGGCGGATGCCTTCGTGGAGAAGTGGAAGGCCCTCAGCGAGGTGGAGAAGGCCCCCCCCCCCCAAGACAAAGGTGTTACGGCCTGCGTTTCGCGTGTTGTGCATAGGGTTTGGGGTCCAGGATGTATATATATGTGTGTGTGTGTGTGTATGTATGTATGTATGTATGTATGTATGTATGTATGCATGCATGCATGCATGCATGCATGTATGTATGTATGTATGTATGTATGTATGTATGTATGTATGTATGTATGTATGTATGTATGTATGTATGTATGTATGTATGTATGTATGTGTATGTGTGTGTATGTATGTATGTGTATGTATGTATGTATGTGTGTGTATGTATGTGTGTGTGTGTGTATGTATGTGTGTATGTGTGTATGTGTGTATGATGTGTGTATGTGTGTATGATGTGTATGTGTGTATGATGTGTGTATGTGTGTATGTGTGTATGTGTGTATGTGTGTATGTGTATATGTGTATATGTGTATATGTGTATGTGTACATGTATATATGTATATGTATGTATATGTGTGTATACGTATATGTATGACACACACGCACTTATTTGTATATACACATGAATATATTTCTAGATGCATACATATATGCGAACGTATATGCATATAGAAATGTTCTAGGACTTATAGGGTGGTTTACCGCCTTCATGGCTTGGGAGGGTTGTGAAGTTGCCCTCTAAGAGTTTCCACATGCCCAACTCCGACCAAGCGAGATTTGAGAAGAAAATGCTGGCCTAAGGCCAAGAAGAAGGAGGAGGATGACAAGAAGGCCGAGGCAAGCAGTCGTGAAGACGGTTTCTGTTCTGAGTCTTGAGCATCCCTTGGGATGACCCCCCTTGAAACTAAGAGTCCTTCGGAAGGACTACTAAACCCTAAACCCTAAACCCTAAACCCTAAACCCAAACCCATTATAGTCCTATTGAGGACTGTTAGAAAAAAGGGGGAACATCCCAAGTCTTAGGGCCATCCCTCACCTGCAGATGCCAGAAACCCTCAGCTCCCAACCTCAAGCCCAGGGCCTAAACCCTAACCCTTTAAACCCTAATTAAACCCTAAACCCTAAACCCTAAACCCTAAACCCTAAACCCTAAACCCTAAACCTCTCTTCATATATATATATATATTTATATTTATATTTATATTTATATTTATATGTATATATATATATATATTTAAACCTTTGTAGTTTGTCGAATAAGTCAAGTCCTTCGTCGAATAAACCAAGTCCTTTGTCGAATAAGGCAAGCCCTTCGTCGAATAAGGCAAGCCCCTCGTCGACTAAGGCAAGTCCTTGGATGAAAACTTCATATTTTCTTAATGTTATGGGATTCTTTGGGCGGGTGGGTTTTTTTCCCTAAGCCTGGAACCCCCTAATGACTATGAATTCTCGAACAGTGACCCTCTAGACCCTAAACCCTAAACCCCAAACCCTTAAACCCGAAGGAGGCCAAGGCTGCGGCCGCAAGCTCTTCCGCCGACTCGGACGACGATGACGACACTTGTCCAAGGGCAGGGTTTAGGGTTTAGGGTTTAGGGTTTAGGGTTCAGGGTTCAGGGTTTAGGGTTTATAGGGTTAGGGTCTAAGTTGAGTGCCTTTTTGGGGTTTTGAGAATGTGTTGAGGCGTCAAGCCGAGGTTTTTTTGGATTTCAGGGATTGGGGATGCTTGAGCGGCGGGTCTCCCGGCTCTGTGTGTTCTTGGGCATTGGTAACCCTAAACCCTAAACCCTAAACCCTAAACCCTAAACCCTAAACCCTAAACCCTAAACATCATGGCTTCAGGGAGAGTGGGTTTTATAGAGTTTTATAGTGTTCTTCAGAGAGGGGGGTTCCCAAGGTTCCCTAGTGCTCCCCGCTACTCCCTAAGGCTCCCTAAGCATCCTTAGCATTCCCCAGGAACCTACCCCCCCCCCCCCCCCCCCCCCCATGCTTGAGAACCCTATAAGCCTCTAGGGGTTTCAAGGCCTCCAGCCACGCCCCAAGCCAAGCCCCACATTTCCTCTCATGAGGGAAGGCATTCCTTGTTTTGTAAGGGATAGAGTATTTGCAGTAGGTTGAGGATTGATATAGTTTCAGATTGCGGTTGAAGGCGTCTGGCTTGCATACCCTCAACCCCTAAACCCAAACCCCCCAAAAGCAAAAAAAACACACGGGCATTCCAGCCAAGCCGAGTGTCCCTCCATCCACCCCGTCCCAACTCGTGCCCAGGACGACAAGGACGAGGAGGAGGACTGAGAGGTCAAAGCCTGCCAAAATCCCCTCTCTTTGAGGCCCCCTGGTGGGAGACAGCGCAGAACCCCCATCAACTTTGTCGTCTTAACTTGGGTTGTTCCCCCTTTTCTAGTAGGCCTAAATAGGGACTGTAGTATCCCGACTCAAGACTTAAGGGCCTGAACCGCGGATCATCGAAAGCCCGTAAGCTTTGATGCCAACTTCTTTGCCTTAATATACGATAATCGCTTTATGATCTGAATCGCATTTTTTGATAGTATGAATTAACGTATATATATATATATATATGTGTATTTTAGATTTTAGACGTTGTTCTCCTAACATTCTTGGCCGTATTATCCTTTGTCGGCACTAACTCGAACCTTCCTCTTCCTTGGGAGGGGGGAGAGAGCGATTTATTCTCAACTCAGCAGTGCAGTCTAAACCCTAAACGCTAAACCCTAAACCCGAAACCCTAAACCCTAAACCCTACTTGCTTCGAAACCAATCGCGACTGCTCAGCACGCCAGGGGGCCCCCTGTGGCCACGTCTCACCTGCTCGGAGTAGACCGAGGCTTTAGCGCCCAAAGTTTGCGCCTTGAGGTTTGTGAGGGTTGAGGCTTTTCGGGTTTAGGGTTTAGGTTTTAGGAGTTTAGGGTTTAGGGTCTGAGGGTTTAGGGTTTAGGGTTCGGGGTTTGAGGGTTCAGGGTTTGGGGTCTGAGGGTTGAGGGTTTCAAACAATGATACCTTGTAAACCATCTGAAAAACGTAGAAAACCGATTAGCTATGGAACTTGGGCGGTGGCTTATTAGAGTTTAGGGTTTAGGGTTTAGGGTTTAGGGTTAGTTTTCTTGAGCTTGGGGTGCAGGATGATTTAGGTTTTGTGGCTTGAGGGGCTTCAGGGCTCTGAAGGGTTTCGGGCTGTCCTTTAAGGCTTTGAGGGTTTCCAAGCACTCCGACCTCAACCCCTTATTAGTCCCCCCCAAGGCCGTGAACGTGTGTGAGTTTGATTGCTCTATCGGCATGCTGGTGCCTAAGTCTCGGCAGTTTTGTCAGTCCAAGTTCGCCTTTAAACTTCGCCATGTCATAAGCGCAGCGTAGATTGCACAGCCTGGGTCGGAAGGGCCATGGCCCTGCCGGAACGCGCAGAACACTTGTAGGGAAGGGGAGGCCTCTCCATTCTCATGGGTAAAATTAGGATCCCTTTTTTGGGGTACCCTAAATGTTTCACCGCAGTCGCGGTTTCCCGTCACAGTGAAATGTTTGATAACCACCCAACATGGAGTCTTGGGTTCTTTGTTGGCCGTTGGGCCGTTGGGGCTTGTTAACGAAATGGAACTCTTGAGTTTTTGAGTCGGCTGTTGGGTGTTGGGCTTGTCTAATTGCTTTCAGGGCTTTGGGTTTTCAACGATTCACCGAGGACTTTGTTGCGCCTTTGAAGCTTAGCTTAGAAGGCACAGAGTCGGTTTCATCGTGGTTCGGGTTATCAGGGTCGTAGCTTGCCAGGTTTTTTCCTGCAGGGACCCCCGCCCTTCCCCGCTCAGACGATCACTCAAAAAGACTGGCGGCCGCCAACACTGGCAGCCTGCCCTCCGTACCAACTTCGCCAGCACGAAAACAGCGATTGGGCGCCGGCAAGGTTTAATACATACCGTTTTGCTTCTTGCAACTTCGATTACATTGCATGTTCTACATACATAACAATTAATTCCAGACACGGAGATTCTCTACATATATATATATGTACATACATATATATATATACAAACATTTATTATTAGTATTATTGTTATGATTATTGTTATTATTATTATTATTATTATTGTGATTATTAGTGTTATTATTATTGTTATTATTATGATGATGATTATTATTATGCATAGACATATATGTATACTTGCACATGTCCTCGAACGATACCCCAAACCCGAACCTCGGTTAGGGTTCGGGGGTGCAGGGTCCTCGAACCCATTCGGGTTTAGGGTTTAGGGTTTAGGGTTTAGGGTTTAGGGTTTAGGGTTTAGGGTTTAGGGTTTAGGGTTTTCGGGTTTAGGGGTTTAGGGTCTTTAGGGTTTAGGGTTTTAGGGTTGCGCCGGAGCCTCATGCCCTCAAACACCCCCCCCCTCCCCCTCCCTGAATTGAGACACAAGTCACTGGAACAAGAGCCTCGGGCCTCAACCTTACGCCTAAATCCTAAACCCTATTAAACCCCAGACCCTCAACCCTAAACCCTGAACCCTGAACCCTGAACCCTGAACCCTAAACCCTAAACCCTAAACCCTAAACCCTACACCCTACACCCTACACCCTTCACAAACTCCGGCATCCTGTCAACAACCGACCCTCAACCCTCAAACCTCAACCCTAACACCTAGGACCCAGAGCGGGCTCTTGTTCCCTGTTTTTAGGTTTAGGGTTTAGGGTTTAGGTTTAGGGTTTAGGGCTACTACGACCCAGAGTAGGCTCCTCTTCCCGGTTGTTCGGGTTTAGGTTCCCTCACAAGCCCCTGTGCAACAAAAAGGGCACCCTTTTTATGGGTTACTTTACGGTCCAGACACCTAAAGCGCCGAACCCTGAACCCTAAGCCCCTAACCCTAAACCATAAACCTAAACCCTAAACCCTAAACCCTAAACCCTAAGCCCCTAACCCTGTAGGCTGAAAAGCCTATAACCTGCAACTCCTCACCGCACCTTAAGCTCTAAACCCTAACATCTAGAGCCCAAAGCCTTAAGTCCGAAAACCTGCACTCCCAAATCCTACACCCTAAACCCTCACCCGAAACCCTAAGCCCTCAACCCTAAACCCTAAACCCTAAACCCTAAACCCTATAAACCCTAAACTCTACCCGCCGCCGCGCCAGGCCCGCAGTTTTGTGAATTCGCCCCCTACGCCTTCCGTGGTTTTTGGCCCCCCTCGGAACCATGCGCCGCACTGCGCTTTGCCTGGGATCCCTTGCAGCTGTCAGTGGCAAGGCACCGGGGTTTTCGGGTTGGCCTTATAGGGTTTAGGGTTTAGGGTTTCCCTGAACCCGAAATGGGTGTAGGGTTACCCTTTACCCTAAACCCTAAACTCTAAACCCTAAGGTCGACCCTTATAGGGCTTTGGTAGGGTTTAGGGGTTTCGGTTTTAGAGTTCGACCCTGAAGAGTCCCATACGCGGTGGTTTTGGTGAGATGTGGTTATAAAGCTCGTTATCGGATGCTGGGGGACTTTCCCTACACAGTGACCACAATTCGAAAGGCAGGTTCAGGATCTGTGCATTCTGCACTCCTAAAAACCTAAACCCTAAACCCTAAACCCTAAACCCTAAACCCTTCAACCTTGAACTCCAAACCCCACGCGGCCTGGGCCTTTCTTGAGGAGTAGGCCAAGAGTCTGTGGCCACGCAAAGTCTAGGACCCGGAGTAGGGCCCTCATTCCCCCTTTTTTTAAGGTTTAGGGTACCATATATATATATACTCCCCTTGAAATCAAAAAGGGCACCCTTCTTATGCCTAGGCTCCTCTTGGGTCTACGCAAAGTGAGGGGGGTTGAGCGATTGCTGCTTCGGTTTTTTTTGGAGTTTTTGGCGCTTCGAGCCTGCTCCATCATTCTGCGACAGCCGTCCTTTTTGCCTTCTGAACACTGCCCTAGACCCTAAACCCTAAACCCCGAACCGGCCTAAACCCTAAACCCTAAAGTAAACCCAAAACCCTTAATTAAACCCTAAACCCCAAACCCCAAACCCCAAACCCTCAACCCCAAACCCCAAACCCCAAACCCTAAACCCCAAACCCCAAACCCTAAACCCCTAAACGGCTAGTTTTTTTGAACTTATGGCCCTCTCAAGACTCACTAAGTCGAGCTTCTCGAGTCGGAGTGGGGTTTGACAAGCAAAACCACACGCCAAGGGCTCGGAGGGATGTTAAGGCGATCTTGGATCGACCTCCTAAGCCCTTCATGAACTACTATCTGCTTCATTCAGAACCCCCCAAGACACAAAGTAATTCTTCCTTATTCGGGGAATATAGGGATGATTGTCTTTCATGTTTTGGGGGGTTCGTAAGCAACTAGTAGTAAACCACCTTGAACCCGAAACTGTGACAGTCTCCCCCCTCCTCCCCCCCCCCCCCCCCCGGTAAGATGCTTGCCGTGAGCTGAAAGAGGTCTACTTCTCTGAGACCTTTGGAGATGGCTGGGAGCACCCTGTTGAGATTTAGGGTTTCGGGTGTAGGGTTGGAATACCATAGGGTTTCAAGCTAGTTTACAGAGGAAGAGCTTAGGGTTTGCGGCTTTTGGGGTTGTGGGGTTTGGCGGATTCGGGTGTAGGGGTGCTGTGAGCCTATCAACCCTCAATCTAGGAGGAGATTTTAAGCCCTACCAACCCACCCTAAACCCTGAACCCTACAAACCTAAATCCGTGCTTCCAAAGCCCTGTGAAAAGTCCTTGGCTGTTCTTCTTCCTGGAAGGTTGCGGGGTTTAGGATTGGGGGTTTAGGGTTTGCTTGAGTTGAGGGTTTAGCTTTCGGATAAATTTAGGTTTGGGATAAATATTTCGGGGTTGCGGGTTTAGGTTTCGGGGGCTCAGAGATCAAGCTTCATTAGGATCCTAAGCCCCTCAAATCGCACCTTCATCCCTGAACAATACCCTAAACCCCAAACCCTAAACCCCAAACCCTACACCCCAAACCCTAACCCTAAACCCCAAACCCTAAACCCCAAACCCTCAGCCCCAAACCCTAAACCCTAAGCCCTAAACCCTAGACCCCAAACCCTAAACCCTAAACCCTAAACCCCAAACCCTAAACCCTAAACCCTAGACCCTCTCAGGAGGGCAGCCACCCCACCAACCCCCCCCCCCTCTCCTGCTGGAGATCACGGCTCCCCCTACCTGATTTTGTGGTACTTTACCTAAACCCTAAACCCTAAACCCTAAACCCTAAACCCTAAACCCTAAACCCTAAACCCTAAACCCTAAACCCTTTTTGGGTTTCTTAATAAGGCAGCTAAAGGTTAATTTTTTTTGCTACCCTCCGGAGTGCAGCCACGCTGAGACATGACTTTTCCCGGCCGTGCATTTTCAGCCATATACAAGTAGTCGAACAGCGAATCCGGGTAGTAAGTAAATCAGCAGATTCTCAAAAAATGCGCGCTGGAACGCCTCTTTGGCCGTGATCCCCCTGAGTCCCAAGCCCTTTGGGGCCCTCATAGAGCCCTCCTCACAAGCCCAAACACCTCTAAGCCTTAAAACTTAATCCCCAAACCCTAAACCCTAATCCCTAAACCCTAAACCCTAAACCCTAAACCCTAAACCCTAAACCCTAAACGCTAAACGCTAAACCCTAAACCCTAAACCCTAAACCCTAAACCCTAAACCCTAAAACCCTAAAACCCTAAAACCCTAAACAAACCCAAAGGAGCCGATGGACGCCCAGCGAGTGGAAGAAGAGCGACGGCACCCAGGGCACCTGGCAGCTCTCGGCGGGCAAGTGGCCACTGGGATGCCTTCAAGGTTGAGGGCTTATGGTTTAGGGTTTAGGGTTCAGGGTTTAGGGTTTAGGGTTTAGGGTTTAGGGTTTAGGGTTTAGGGTTCAGGGTTCAGGGTTTAGGGTTTAGGGACGAAGCCACATCTCTGAAAAGACTAAATTGCGGCAAACCCTAGCCTATGTTTAACGCAAGCTTAATGCAGGTGAAGCGTTAGCCCAGCCGGGGTCCACCCCTAGCCCAAGAGAAAGCCTACACAAAACGTAAACCCGACACAAACTCTGTCCTTCATAAACAATTGTCCCAACCCTAAACCCTAAACAACTCAACCCTAAACCCTGAGCCCAACACTGCAACAAAGGTTCGCAAATGAGGCGGAGGACAAGGGCGTGCAGACCGCTGAGGACTCACGGTGCCCAGCCTCTGATTACTATTAGGGTATGAGGGTTCAGGGTTTAGGGTTTAGGATTCAGGGCGTAGGGTTTCTAGGGTTTAGGGTTTAGGGTTTAGGGCTTTTAGGGTTTAGGAATTAAGGGACTACGGGGCTCATGAAGGCCCCCGGGTTGCGATTCATCTGGTTTGAGTCTAGGGTTTAGGGTTTAGCGTTTAGGGTGCGGGGTTGAAGGGGTGCATGGCTTAGGGTTTGGGGTTTATGATTGATGGTTTATGGTTTAGGGTTTAGGGTTTAGGGTTTAGGTTCGGGTTTACTCAAGGATTTCTTTTCAGGGGTTTAGAGTTTAGGGGATCGGAGGGTTGGAGTGGCTCAGGGTTCAAACATGTCCCAGCTGACAATCTATTTTAGGAGTTTAGGGTTCAGGGCTTAGGGTATGTATCTTAATTAGGGGTTGAAGGTTGTGTCACTCAGTAGTCAGTTCAATACATGCAATCTTTTCCGGGGAGTGTGTAGCGCAGTCAGTCTTCAGTCGTGCTGGAAGTTTATAAAGTCACGACAAAGGCGTGCGGTGAAACCGTACTCTTAGGAGCATATCTCTAACAGCCGCAGAGGTTCTTCGGCCTCTCCGCTGGCTTCGACTCCTTCAGCAACGAGGGCAAGGAGCTGATCATCCAGTACCAGGCGAAGTACGAGAAGGACATCGAGTGCGGCGGCGGCTACGTCAAGGTCGGGCCAAAGCTCAGCGATCCCAAGGCGTTCGGTGACCCCACGCCGTACAACATCATGTTCGGCCCCGACAAGTGCGGCTACACCAAGCGCACGCACCTGATCTTCAGCTACAAGGGCAAGAACGTGTTGAAGAAGTCGGACCTGGCATACAAGCAGGAGGGCGAGGGCACTTCTCACGTGCGGCTCGGCGCAAGCTCCGCAAGGTTCCATCTGCGTTAAATGCTTGTGTATAGCCGTTTCAGCTGCTTGTCACATGTTGTTGGGAACCTAAACTTCTGAGGTACAGGCTGACCCTGAAGCCCGACAACACCGCGAAGGTGGAGATCGACGGCGAGAGCATCTACGAGGGCTCCTTGAAGGAGGACTGGGAGCTCTTGGCGCCCAAGGAGATCAAGGATCCCGAGGACAAGAAGCCCAGCGACTGGGTCGATGACAGCATGATGGACGACCCCGAGGACAAGAAGCCAGACGGCTGGGTGGAGGAGAAACGCATTGTGGACGCCAAGGCCAGCAAGCCGGATGACTGGGACGACGAGGAGGACGGCGAGTGGGAGGCGCCCATGATTGACAACCCCGAGTACAAGGGCGAGTGGACCGTGAAGCGAATCTCTAACCCAGCCTACAAGGGCTTCTGGGAGGCCAAGAAGATCGCCAACCCGGAGTACGTCGATGACGACAGCCTCTACAAGTACGACGACTTCGGCTTCATCGGCTTCGACTTGTGGCAGGTGAAGGGCAACACCATCTTCGACAACGTCATCATCACGGATGATGCGCCTCGACGAAAGGCGATGCAGGTGGCAGTGTATGGGAAGTTGTTTGAAACTGGGATCCATACATATATAGATGGATAGATGGATAGATAGATAGATAATGATAGATATATCCTTTCTCTTTACCATCGGAATCCTTATTCCTTATGAGACTACGGAGTGCTTCGTTGGACCACTTTGCAGGTTCGTTCCTCAGCCTAAAAAGAAGCTAAGCTCACGATCTGACAAGTGAGCTTAAGGTTTATAGGGTTTAGGGTTTAGGGTTTAGGGTTTAGGGTTTAGGGTTTAGGGTTTAGGGTTTAGGGTTTAGGGTTTAGGCCAGTGAGAGGACTTGTGGGTGCAAAAGAGCACCCTCATCCCCCAAACCCGCAGAAACAAAACGCCTTTGTGCCCTAAAACCCTATAGCCCTAAACCCTGTAGCCCTATCTCCCTGTAGCCCCAGAGCCCTATACCCCTAGAACCCCAAAAGCCGAACCTATAACCATGAGCCTATAGCCCTATAACCCTAAACCCTCAACCCCCGAGGTCAAAGAGGCCGATGCCTTCGTCGCGAAGTGGAAGGCGCTCAGCGAGGTGGAGAAGGCCCGACCCTAAACCCGAAACCCTAAGACATAAACCCTAAACCCTAAACCCTAAACCCTAAACCCTAAACCCTATCTTCCCACAAGCCATGCCAGTTTGCGGTTTTGGGGGTTTAGAGTTTATCGGGTTCAGGGTTCAATGGAGGCCTTTGTTAGTTTCGCCAAGCAAGTTGCCAGGGGTTAGGGTTCTGCGAGTTCTTCCTGTGCTTCGCAAGATTCAGCCCCAAATCGCTGGGTTTAGGGTTCAGGGTCTAGGGTTAGGGTTTAACCCCTGAACCTTCAACACTAAACCCTCAAGCCTCAACCCCCGACCCATTTTTCTAGGATGCCCAGTAGTACCCTTCCCTTTTTGGGTGCTTTTGGTTCCCTTATCAATTCCTTTAAGCAAAAAAGGGCACCCTTTTTCAACCTAGGTTACTGGGCAACCTAGGTTTAAGCTCCTCCAGAAACCCGCCGCGTCAGGCCAAGAAGAAGGAAGAGGACGACAAGAAAGCAGAGGACCCCCTGGTCGGGTTAAAGGCTCTGGGTGTACAACACTTTGTCATGTGGGGGTAACATTAGCAACATTCTACCCTAAACCCTAAACGCTAAACGCTAAGCGCTAAGCGCTAAACCCTAAACCCTAAACCCAGGAATACACATTTAAACTTCTCATACTATCCCGACCATGAACTCGTTCAGGCGTCGAAAGAATTACTAATGGCATTCCCTCATGGTCCCTTTCGAACTCTACTATAATAACACCCTCCAAAACCCTATTCTAATCATTCAGGCCCCTATATTCGGGTGTTTTGTCTAGGGATATGCGGGAAAATGTGTGAGTTGCAGGGTACATCAGGGCACAAGGCACACCACTTTACGCTTCAAAGGTGTGTCTGGCTTACAAGGGCTCAGCATTCAACAATATTGAACCGATGGTTATGGCGGCCCTTGCTGCGAGCATGATGTAACCTTTATCTTGGGATTGGGTATACTTCGCAATTTTGCCATTTGCAACGAGAGAGAGGTGACTTGTTTGATGCAGCCGGCGCACGCAGAGGAATGTGTGGCATAAACGTGCCTTGCTAGCTGTCCGGGATGCACGGTGAGTGTCTGGAAAGAGCTCCAGGAGGGTGTGAGAATATAAAAAACCCTAAGCTCTAAAACATCAACCCTGAAGGCCCAAAACCCTGAAGGCTTTAAGTCCTGAAGCGCCCTAAGCCCAGAAGCCCTGCACGTTAGAAAACGATGGGCCGTATAACATCTTGACCCAACGGTAGGGGACAAAACCCAAATCAACCCTACTAGCCCAAACCCCGAACCCCAAGCCCGAAAGCCGAAACCCCAACCCCCGAATCCTAAACGCCGAACCACGAACCCTAAACCCTAAACTCCTAAACCCCAAACCTACACCCTGAGCCCCCGCCCTAAACCCCAAACCCCGAACCCCAAATCCCAAACCCTAAACCCCGAACCCTTTATTATTCCCAAACACTAAACCCCAAACCCAAACCCTAAACCCCAAACCCTAAACCCTAAAACCCAAACCCTAAACCCTAAAACCCAAACCCTAAACCCAAACCCTAAACCCTAAACCCCAAACCCCAAACCCTAAACCCTCAAGAGAGCTGGCCATGTGTCGCCTGCAGGAGGCAAAGGCTGCCGCTTCCAGTTCTAAGGACGACGACGATGACGACGCCCCCTGGACGTAAGGTTTCTTTGGGTCTTGGGGGGTTCTGGAGGATTTGGCGGTTGGTGTTTTTTGGTGTTTTTTTTTTGTTTGGGGGGGGGGGGGGGGTGGGAGGGGCATTTGGGGTTGTTAGGGGGGGTTGGGGTCTTGGGGTCTTGGGGGTTTGGGCGTTTTGGGTGTTTTTCGGGGGTTGGGGTTTGGAGTCTTGGGGTTTTGGGGCCTGTGAGTGTTGAGGTGTGGGGGTTTGGGGGGTTTGTGCTTTATAGCATGCGAAGTTTAGGGTTTAGCACTCAGAAAAAGCCTCTGCCTTTTGACAGTATCAGTAGATTGAAATCATTCTGGATGTGAGAACCCTGCGGCGCGCAAACGCGCGCAACGGCAAAGCACTGTGGAGGTATTTCAACATGCACCAATAACTTCATAAATATTTCTAATTCTTTTGAATGGATTAGACGATCACAATCAAGCTGTCTGTGCATACCTTGGGTTTTGAGCTGTCGGACTAACACGGCGCACGCAAGCTGTGCGAAAGGTGCCCATGCCCCTGTTCCGCCACGGGAAAGTGGGACAGGGTTGAAGTTTAGGGTAGAATGGTGTTGCTCTGTAGACTGCACACTTCCATTGTGAGGACTTCATGTATGTCTTCAACAAAAAAATGTGCTACAAAGGGCGAAGTGAAATATAATTGTAAAAAGAGCAGCGGCGCGATTAAAGAGCAACCCCCCCCACCCCCACCCTCAAGAACTTCTGCCACGCCGTAACGGTAATGTATTGCAACACGGGTATAGGGTTTAGGGTTTAGGGTTTAGGGTTTAGGGTTTAGGGTTTACACAGAAGTGTGCGATGTTGGAGCCCCATGGCTCGAAACTTTTTGTTGGCCCGAAAGTCCTAAACCCTAAACCCTAAACCCTAAACCCTAAACCCTAAACCCTGAACCCTGAACCCTAAACCCTAAACCTTAACCCTACCAAATCCTGACCGCTCAAGCCCGAACCTCGACATTCCCCCAGATTTTCCGGGAGTTCAGGCAACATCCCATCGGAGGCCCTTGGCCCCAAAGGGTTTAGGGTTTAGGAGTTGAGGGCTTATTTGAGGGCTTATCGGGCGCAGCCCTCCACCTTGGACCCCTAGACCCCCGGGAAGGGGGGGGGGGGGGGTTTTTTCATAACCCCCAAACCTTAAACCCTAAACCCTAAACCCTAAACCCTAAACCCTAAACTTGTTTTCAGAAGAGCTCGGGGGTTGAAGCCAAGGATGACAAGGAGGATGAGGAGGAGTGAAGCAGCCCCCGCTTTGGGGCGTAGGGTGTTGAATTGTAGGTTTAGGGGCTTAAGGGTTTAGGGGTTTAGGGGTTCAGGGTTCAGGGTTTAGGGTTTAGGGTTTAGGGTTTGGGGTTTAGGGTTTAGAGTTTAGGGCTTAGTTGTTTACAGGGCCTGATTGAGAGATTACAGGAGACTGGTGGTAGATGGTCTCACCCGGTGTTCCTCGTGCAGCTTGAGATCTGCTGTCCGCTACTGGGTCGAATTCCGTCGGCGGGCATCTTACTCGCTGGGTTTAGGGTTTAGGGTTTAGGGTTTAGGGTTTAGGGTTTAGGAGCAGCTTTTGTGTTCTCTGAGCCAGCTCAAACCTGGGCTCCGCCAGGGTAGCCACTCAAAAGACCTGGAAAGACCTGCCTGCTGCAGTTAACTGCAGCTCGCTGCGGTATCTGTCTCAAGAGAGAAACAATTGCCCCGCCTGCTGAAGCAACAGTTCCATAGGATAGCGTTTAGGGCCAGTTTAGGGTTCAGGGTTCAGGGTCGAGGGTGCCCCTCTACTTCCTGGGATCTTGTGAGGTTGAATTACAGGGGACTGCAAGGGGCAGAATGTAAGTGGGGGTAGAAAAAAATCTCATGATAGCGAAACGTCCGAATCCCACGCCCCATCCAACAGAACGCCTAAAACCTAATTCTGAACCTCCTACCTCGTGGCTCTCAGGGCTTTAAACCCTAAACCCTAAACCCTAAACCCTAAACCCTAAACCCTAAACCCTAAACCCTAAACCCTAAACCCCAAACCAAAAACCTCAAATCAAGGGCTTCACGACTTCACGTGCCCGGCCGCCGGCTCCAAAACCTCAGGCAGTTTTGTGAATTCGCCCCCCTGGCCTCCGCCCTTCGCCCCCCCCCGCCGACCTCTTCGGAAGCATGCGCTGCGCGGCGCTGTGCATGGGCTCCCTGGCAGTGGCCTCTGGCAAGGCGAGCCCCCAACTTGCCGGGGGTTCAAGGGACTCAAGGGGTTACAGGATATTAACGGGGCTTAGGTTTTTTTTTTTTTAAGGTTTAGGGTTTAGGGATATATATATATATGTGAAGATATATGTGCATTTCTTTACATCATGGCTCCTTTTTGGGCATCCTACATTCGTACACATAACGCCCCGGCCCACATTATAAGAGGTACGCCCCCCCCCCCCCCCCCCCCCCCCCCCCCCCAAAAGACGAGCTCGAAGCGAAGGATTTGTCAGGCGGCTTCCTTTCCCATATGGATCTATATAGGCCTTGTACACCTTGCGCTCCCCTAAGCCGTAAACCCTAAACCCTAAACCCTAAACCCTAAACCCTAAACCCTCCTGAACCCTGAACCCTGAACCCTGAACCCTGAACCCTGAACCCTAAAACCCTAAAACCCTAAACCCTAAACCCTAAACCCTAAACCCTAAACCCAAACCCTTGCAGATAAGCTTCATACAAGTGACTTGATGGAAGTCGTTCACCGACTTTGCTATACATGAGACCCAGATATGGCCCAAAATTTGGTTCAATCACCACCCCTCCCCCCCACCCCCCCCAACCTTTAGACCTAACCCCCAACATCTAGACCTAAAGCTGCCATACATGGGTCCAAGCAGGGGATTCCACACCCCTGAACCCTAAACCTGAAACCCTAAACCCTAACCCTAAACCCTAAACCCTAAACCCTAAACCCTAAACCCTAAACCCTAAACCCTAAACCCTAAACCCTAAACCCAACTTGCCCTTAGCTTGGCAGGTCTACTTCTCCGAGACCTTCGGCGACGGATGGGAGAAGCTTGGCAGATGCCCTAAGGCCTCAACCCCGGATGCCCCCAGGTTGGGGTTTGGGGTTTAGGGTTTAGGGTTTAAGGATCAAGGTTTAGGTTTTAGGGTTTAGGATTAAGGTTTAGGCTTGTGGGTTGAGGGGTCTGCACTACCCTTGACCACAGCTCTCTCCTTCACGCGAAGCCTGACGTGACGAAAAGGGTCCGGAGGTTTTTGGGGTTTTGGGGTTCGGGGCCCTGGATCACAAAAGGGGTCAACCCTAAATCCTAAACCCTAAAACCTCAACCCTCAACCCTCAACCCTAAACCCTAAACCTCAACCCTAGGATTCCCAGTTTGTTCGGGGCCCTAAGCCCTGAAACCCTGAACCTGAAGCAAGCCTGGCCCCAAAGCCCAAAGCCCAAAGCCCAAACCCCAAACCCTAAACCCTAAACCCTAAACCCTGATTAAGCAAGCCCTAAACCCTGAACCCTAAACCCTGAACCCTAAGAACCCTGAACCATCCTTTGGCGCAGTGCTCTTCGCGAAGGAGTCGCTGGACGCCCAGCGAGTGGAAGAAAAGCGATGGCACCCAGGTCTCAGGGGGTTAAGCGTTTTAGGGTTTAGGGTTTAGGGTTTAGGGTTTTAGGGTTTCAGGGTTTTAGGGTTTGGGGTTTAGGGTTTGGGGGAGCTTGCTGGTGTCGACGGCAGGGAAACCCTAAGCACTAGATGCCCGGAACACTCAAAAACCCAGATCAGAAGCAGCCCTAAGCCAGAAGATGTTCCCCCTCTCCCCCTGATTTTTGAAACAAAAATGCTAAATAAATAAACAAGCAAACAAGCAAATAAATATAGATAAGTAAATACATACATATCTACATGTATAATATATATATATATATATATATATATGTATAGGATGCAGAGGCTATGAGACAATATATATATATATAAGATGCAGAGGCTATGAGACATTCTCAGACAGCTCGGGCGGATGTTTGGTTTTGGGGGTCGGTCACGGGGCTGGGGACTTGGGAAAGCGTTGTCCCTACACCCTAAACCCTAAACCCTAAACCCTAAACCCTAAACCCTAAACCCTAAACCCTAAACCCTAAACCCTAAACCCTAAACCCTAAACCCTAAACCCTAAACCCTAAACCCTAAACCCTAAACCCTAAACCCCTAAACCTACCCCTAAACCCTAAACCCTAAAACCCTAAACGGCGTGGGGGGGGGGGGGGGGGGGGCGGGGAGAGGCCCGGTCTCTGGTAGGTTTGTTTTTGTTCTTATTTTTTTTTTTTGGGGGGGGGGGGGGGGGTTTAGGGTTAGGGTTTTAGGGTTTAGGGTTTAGGGTTTAGGGTTTAGGGTTCAGGGTTCAGGGTTCAGGGTTCAGGGTTCAGGGTTTAGGGTTTAGGGTTTAGGGTTTAGGGTTTAGGGTTTAGGGTTTAGGGTTTAGGGTTTAGGGTTTAGGGGCGTTGGGGTTTCGGGCTTAGGGTTGAGTTACAGGGTTCTTAAGGGAGGGGGTATATGACCCAACGGTCCCTACTACCCTAAGCTTCCCTAAGGTTGCCTAGGTACCCTCCTTCTTTAAGAACCCTATAATTTAGAGTTTAGGGTGGGTTTGCCGGAGCGGGGGAGGGGGGGGGGTTTTTGCCCAGAGGCGCCTACAGCAATCCTGGAAGCACCAGCACGAAGAACTAAACAGTCCAACCCTGAACTCTAGACTGCAAGTTTTTTTTTGGGGGGGAGGGGGGGTAGGGTTTAGGGTCTAGGGTTTAGGGTTTAGCATGCTAAAGGGCCGTACCGGCCAGGGAACGTGGCAGCTCTCGGCGGGCAAGTGGTTCGCCAATGAGGCGGAGGACAAGGGCGTGCAGACTGCAGAGGACTCCCGGTTCCTTGGCTCCAAGCCCTGAAAACTGTAAACCCCAAAGCCCGAAACCCTTTTCCAAGGTAGCCCCCAAGCATGACTATACTTATACACAGAACGTGCCTACTTAGGTGGCGCAGTGGTATGAGGAGAAGGGGATCATGTCGGGGGTTTGTTTGTTCAGTTGTTCATGTGGTGCATTCATATTGCATGAGGTACAAGTATGTTGTAAACCACTGACACGCTCTGCAGAAGCTTAAAGCTAAGAGTCGTGTTACAAGGAGCGCTCTCGTGTTTCACCAAGGTTCTTCGGCCTCTCCGCTGGCTTCGACTCCTTCAGCAACGAGGGCAAGGAGCTGATCATCCAGTACCAGGCGAAGTACGAGAAGGACATCGAGTGCGGCGGCGGCTACGTCAAGGTCGGGCCCAAGCTCAGCGATCCCAAGGCGTTCGGTGACCCCACGCCGTACAACATCATGTTCGGCCCCGACAAGTGCGGCTACACCAAGCGCACGCACCTGATCTTCAGCTACAAGGGCAAGAACGTGTTGAAGAAGTCGGACCTGGCATACAAGCAGGAGGGCGAGGGCACTTCTCACGTGCGGCTCGGCGCAAGCTCCGCAAGGTTCCATCTGCGTTAAATTCTTGTGTATAGCCGTTTCAGCTGCTTGTCACATGTTGTTGGGAACCTAAACTTCTGAGGTACAGGCTGACCCTGAAGCCCGACAACACCGCGAAGGTGGAGATCGACGGCGAGAGCATCTACGAGGGCTCCTTGAAGGAGGACTGGGAGCTCTTGGCGCCCAAGGAGATCAAGGATCCCGAGGACAAGAAGCCCAGCGACTGGGTCGATGACAGCATGATGGACGACCCCGAGGACAAGAAGCCAGACGGCTGGGTGGAGGAGAAGCGCATTGTGGACGCCAAGGCCAGCAAGCCGGATGACTGGGACGACGAGGAGGACGGCGAGTGGGAGGCGCCCATGATCGACAACCCCGAGTACAAGGGCGAGTGGACCGTGAAGCGAATCTCCAACCCAGCCTACAAGGGCTTCTGGGAGGCCAAGAAGATCGCCAACCCGGAGTACGTCGATGACGACGCCCTCTACAAGTACGACGACTTCGGCTTCATCGGCTTCGACTTGTGGCAGGTGAAGGGCAACACCATCTTCGACAACGTCATCATCACGGATGACGCCACTTAGCCGATAAGGTTGAGGCTTTAGAGCTGAGGTTCTGAAGGCCCAAGCCCCGAACACCAGGAGGCAGATATTCGCGATCAGGGGATCGAATTCTAAGCCCCCAAACTCTGCGATAAAGCGAAACTCTTGATGGAGTTCAGAAGATTCGCAAATAGTAGGTATTTGTGCGCTGCGATTGTGTAGGTCTTGCAGTAGGAGGCAGATGCAGAATTCTTGCGGCTGCTGGGGCGTCGGGGATGTACACCGTAGTCTTGAGATGTTCCCCCTTATACGAACAGTCCTTAATAGGGGTTATAGTACCCCTGATTATCATCCCTATGAAGGACTTTTAGTATAAGGGGGAACATCCCAACTCTGGGCGTTTTAGACCCTGTTGGTACAAGGGCTGCAGATGTTAGGTACACGGGCCGACGCTTCTGTGGAAGGGGATCCCTACCTATAAACCCTGAACCCTCAGGCGTTAAGCTCTAAACCCTAACCCCTAATTTAGGGTTTAGGGTTTAGGGTAGTTTTCATTTGCCCTTAACATGGTCCCTTGCCTCCTTCAAAGGGTTCTGATGTCTGGGCCCTTAATGTATACGGTATATAAGTGGTATATAAGGGGTATCCACGGGGTCCGCTTTTTAAGGGCCCATATTAAGGGACCATGTAACTACCCTTAGAGGCTGTTGTTTCGGTTTGGGTTTACATGGCTCTGGGGTCTAGGCTTATCAAGGGTCTAGGTTAAAAGATTAAAGCCTATGAGCCCTAACCCCTAAACTTTCAGGGTTCAGGCTTAGGGTTTGTTTTTAGGGTTTAGGGGTTTAGTGTTTCGGGTTAGGTTTAGGGTTTATAGGGTTTAGGGGTTTAGGGTTTAGGGTCGTCGCCACAGTGCAGAGGGCATCGTGAAACGGACACACGAAGATCGTGTGCTACTCCCGCCCGCGCTCATCATATAGGACCCGAAAAATTCAGGCACAAATGTGGGGGCCCATACTTTGAGCCCTAGTTAACCCGAAGCCCTAAGCCCCAACAGCTCCCGCAAAATGGTACCGAAGGTTTTTTTTTTCTAAGGGTAGTTTCATGGGCCCTTAATTTGGGCCCTAACCTCCTATAAAGGGTTCTGATGTATGGCCCCTTAATGTATACGGTATATAAGTGGTATATAAGGGGTACCCGTTCAAGGGCCCATACTGAGGGACCATGTAACTACCCTTACTGTAGGTGTCGAATCCCTCAGCCCTAGTGAACCCTAAACCCCTAACCCCTAACCCCTAAACCCCTAAACCCCTAAACCCCAAACCCTAACCCCTAAACCCTAAACCCTAAACACAGCAGGTGTTTTTTCAGGGATCCCTCAACGGAAGCAGGTGAAAGAGGCGGATGCCTTCGTGGAGAAGTGGAAGGCGCTCAGCGAGGTGGAGAAGGCCCCGAGAAAGACGTAAAGAGTGGAGATCTTGGTAGAGGTGGTACGTGGAACCCTAAACCCTAAAGACCCTGAACCCTAAACCCTAAACCCTAAACCCTAAACCCTAAACCCTAAACCCTAAACCCTAAACCCTAAACCCTAAACCCTAAACCCTAAACCCTAAACCCTAAACCCTAAACCCTAAACCCTAAACCCCCTAAACCCTAAACCCTAAACCCTAAACCCTAAACCCTAAACCCTAAACCCTAAACCCTAAACCCTAAACCCTAAACCCTAAACCCTAAACCCTAAACCCTAAACCCTAAACCCTAAACCTCAGGTTGTAGAGCTCAAAACGTACGACCTTAGATTTTCAAGGCTCCCCGCCTTGAACTGAGCGGTTTGTTTCAGTCTTCTGGGACTTTAGGGTTGCGATCTTTGTGTGGGGGTTTAGGGTTTAGAGTTTAGGGTAGGGTTTAGGGTTTAGGGTTTAGGGTTTAGGGTTTAGGGTTTAGGGTTTAGGGTTTAGGGTTTAGGTTTTAGGGTTTAGGGTTTAGGGTTTAGGGTTTAGGGTTTGTGGATATGAAATTTTCAGGAAATGAGGGGGCTTGGGTTCCAGGTACGTCACGGGTTTAGGGTTTAGGGTCGTGTTCGAGTCGAGAGAATCCAAACTACCCGCGACCCAACATATCTATTCCGAATCATAGCCCTTCATTGCACTACAACAAATGGCGTTTAGTGCTTGCAATTCGTGCTTAGCGTTTGTGACTTCGGTGTTTCTTGGACGACGAACCCTCAACCTAAACCCCTATCCCCTACACAGCCGCAGCAACACGCAACGCGAGGCGAAGAAAAAGGAGGAGGATGACAAGAAGGCGGAGGACGACCCAACCCCCAGCTCCAACATTTCAGAAGGCCCAGGCAGAGGCTTAGGACAGTTTGGAGTTGAGGCTTTGGGGCCTCAAACCCTAGAACTAAACCCTGTAAACCATATAAACCAAAAAGTAACCCTGTAAACCCTATAAACCCCACAAACCTTATATACCCTCGAAACCCTATAAACCCCTACCAACCCCTACCAACCCGCCCTCAAACCTAGAAACCCTGAAGCCCCAAACCCCACAACCCTAAACCCTAGCCCTAAACCCTAAACCCCAAACCCTAAACCCCTAAACTCCAAAATGCCATCGCCCCGCAGGAGGCGAAGGCCGCAGCAGCGTCTGCCTCCAAGGATGACGACGATGACGACACCCGGCTCCGGCTGTCATGAAAGGTTTATAGGGTTTATCAGGGGGGTTTAGGGTTTAGGGTTAGGGTTTAGGGTTTAGGGTTTAGGGTTTAGGGTTTAGGGTTTAGGGTTTAGGGTTTAGGGTTTAGGGTTTAGGGTTTAGGGTTTAGGGCTTAGGGTTTAGGGTTTAGGGTTTAGGGTTTAGGGTTTGGTTTTGTCTTTTTTTCGTGGTTTTGTCCGGCTTTGTAGGGGTTGAGAAGGTTTGTTTGCCTGGTGTCTATGGTTATACCTGCTTTGCTAAGGTGTTTTAGTGCTTACATGGTGTTCCAGAGCGTAGTCGTTGGGTTGTGATAGGTCTTTTTGTCTTTAACCTTTTTTGGGTCTCGGGGGTGTTGAGGTGTTTGAGCTCGAAGGCTTCGGACTTTGGAGAGATTTGGCGGAGGGGCGGGGGGGGGGAAGTCTAGGGGATATCTAGCTTCAGGCTTTCGACTTCTATTATATGGTCAGTTCTCAACATGATGATCCCTTTTTGGGGTCCCCTGAATAAGAAGGGCCGCCTTTATAATCAATCCCTAAACCCTAAATCCTAAACCCTAAATCCTAAACCCTAGACCCTAAACCCTAAACCATATCTTCGAGAAGTGGCCATATTGGTTCCCCGCGAGAGATCCTCTTTGCCTTTCGCAGTTTCAGGGGGTTCCACGGATGGTCCCCATACAAAAGGAGCTGCGGCGCTCAAACCCTAAACCCCAAACCCCAAGCCCCAAACCCTAAACCCTAAACCCTAAACCCGACACCCTAAGCCCTGAACCCTGAACCCTTGACAGACTAATCCCTGCTAAGCGACCGTTAGTATAAGGGGGGAACATGCCAAGGTGCAGGAGTTTAGAGGCTTTTCGGGGTATTAGGCTATTCAGACTTTAGGATGTTGGCGATTTAGGATCAAGGCTTGGGTGTGCATCTGAGTCCTGATTGCAGGCCCGCCTTGTGCATTGTTTAATGGGGTTTAGAGTTTAGGGTTTAGGGTTTAGGGTTTTTGGTTTGAATTAGGGTTAGGGTTTAGGGAAAAAGCAGCATGCCTAGTTTACGGTAGGGTTTTAGGGATTAAGGAGTGAGGTTTCAGGCGTTACCGTCACCTTTCTTGAGCAATCGATATGTTACATATTTTGGGGAGAGGGCGGGGGGTACTGTACCTGAGCTACATGTGTTGTTCTGGAAACCATTAGACTAGGTACCCGAAGTAACTTTGCCTGCAGCGGCGCTGCAGCGGCATGGAGGGTAGATGGGCTAAGGGTTCACAGGCTTCGCTGTGAGATTCTTTGGTCAGGCCTCAAAATTCTTCTTGGCCCGATACATTTACGAGACCCCTCTTCCGAACAAAGGTGCCAACTGAGGTGTTTTGAAGATTTGGGGGGGGGAGAGGAAACCCTACACCCTAAGTCCCATTTACCCCTAACCTTAAGCTTTTGTAACCCTAAGGCCTACAACCTATACCCTATACCACAAAGACCCCGTGCCCCGTAAGCTGAGTGACGCTTCAACTCTCGACCCTATAAACCCTAACCCTAAACCCTAAACCCTAAACCCTAAACCCTAAACCCTAAACCCTAAACCCTAAACCCTAATGAGGATGAAACGATCAAAGCCAACCCCAAGCTCTCTACACCCGCTCCAGCTAAGCCCTAAACCCTACATCCCTAAACCTCTTTCTAGGCCTTGCAAACCCTCTAGCTCTTAAGAAAGGCCCTCAAAACCCTGAAACATTCACTTCGTGGCTGAGTGGGTACACTTTACACTTTTTTGGGATACTATAATCCCCTGTAAACTGAAAGTGCACACCTTTTTAGGGGCTTATGAACTGAGCAACTAGGCCTCAACCCTAGACCCTAAACCCTAATTCCTAAACCCTAAACCCTAAACGCTCCGGCCTCTAAACCCTAAACCCTAAACCCTGAACCCTGCTGTTTTCGGAGAGCCCTGCCCGAGCCTTGAGGATGACAAGGATGACGAGGAGGAAGACTGAGCATCCTCCTCCTTCATCCCCCTGCTGAGCTGGGGTTAGTCTTGCCCAAACCCTAAACCCTGAACACTAAACCCTAAACCCGAAACCCTAAACCCTAAACCCTAAACCCTAAACCCCTACGCATGGGCAAGCCCAGCCGGTTTTTGCGCGTAGAAGCAGACCGTCTCACCTCGACACCTGGCGACAGGCGACACCCACAGACCCCTGAGCCCAGAGTGCCCCCAAACCCCTCTGAACCCTAGGGCTTAGAGTTTAGGGCTATTCAGGGTTTAGCGCTATTTAGGGTTTAGGGCTATTTGGGGTTTAGGGCTATTTAGGGTTTAGGGCTATTTGGGGTTTAGGGCTATTTAGGGTTTAGGGCTATTTAGGGTTTAGGGCTATTTGGGGTTTAGGCCTATTTGGGGTTTAGGGCTATTTAGGGTTTAGGGCTATTTAGGGCTTAGGGCTATTGAGGGTTTAGGGCTATTGAGGGTTTAGGCCTTCTTCTTCATGTAAGTTTAGGCGAGGTTGAAGAAAGAGGATTTCGACGCCCTGCCCACACCCACGGTGCCTTTTATCAGATGCCCTTGCAATTCACGTTACAGCGTGTGAAGGGCGGTTCAAGTCAGGGTCGACCCTAATGCCGAAACGCGAAACCCTAAACCCTAAACCCGAGAAGCACTAATCCCGAAACCCTAAACACTGAGCCCTAAACCCGAATCCCGAATCCCGAAACCCTAAACCCTAAACCCGAGAAGCACTCGAATTGAAGATGTCGCCATGTCAAGAGCGCACAGCACAGTTCCGCGCCAAAGCTGAGGACGGTCTGCGCAGACCAACTATGGGAACACCCCACCTGAACGAAGGCCTGAGGGTTTAGGGTTTAGGGTTTAGGGTTAGGGTTTAGGTTTTAGGGTTTAGGGGAGAAAAGGGTCCCTGTTGCAGGCGCCTCGGCTTGGCCCCCAATTTGCTTTAGGAGAGAAACCGTCTCGGAGAAAAACCAAGTCCCTGCCGTTCTGGCAGTCGGCTTCTCAGCAAGGAGACAGCAAAAAAAAAAAAAAACGCTGCTTTTGGGATGTTCAAGGGTGAAGGGTTTAGGGTGTTTAGGGTTTAGGGTTCGGGTTAAGGGTTTAGGGTTTAGGGTCTAGGGTTTAGGGTTTAGGTTTTTATGGTTTAGGGTGGGGTTTAGGGTTTAGGGGACTAACTAGCAGTCCTGAAAAGGGTTATAGTACCCCCTGTTATAATCCCTATTAAGGGCTGTCAGTATAAGGGGGAACATCCCAAGGTAGAAGCCCTAAACCCTAAACCCTAAACCATAAGGTTGAGCCTAAGTTCGGGGATTAGGGTTTTCAGGGCTTAGGGTTGAGAGGAGTTTTTGAGGTGTGATGGGCATGCTTGCTTGTTGCTGTTTTTTGCGGTCTGTAGGGAGCAGAGCAGAGTTGGGTTTAGGGTTTAGGGTTTAGGGTTTAGGGTTTAGGTTTTAGGTTTTAGGGTTTAGGGTTTAGGGTTTAGGGTTTAGGGTTTGGGTGGTTTTGTCTGGGCACAATGCCTTCGGTAAGACCGAAACCCATGCAAACAAGCGACAGGCTTGAAGCCAAAGCACGCTACAACCCTCAACGCGTTAAAGCTCAAGCCCGTAGGCCCTGAAACCCGACACGGTTAAGGGTTTAGGGTTTAGAGTTACGCGTCACTCCTGAACCAAGAACTCTGCCTCGAGCCGCGTTGTTGTTCCTGGTGAGTGGACGTTGGCAAGGTTGCTCTGCGACCTGGATATTCTCGTGAATTTCTCATAAAGTTTAGGGTTTAGGGTTTAGGGTTTAAGGTTTAGGGTTTAGGGTTTAGGGTTTAGGGTTAGGGTTTAGGGTTTAGGGTTTAGGGTTTAGGGTTTAGGGTTTAGGGTTTAGGGTTTAGGGTTTACTAAAGACCGATAAGCTGTTGGGAGTTTCGGGTTGGGAGGTGTAGGGTTTCTTTGTGCTTCCGCGTTCCTTTCCTGACTTCGACCGTCAGATTCCAATCCCTTAGGGTTTAGGGTTTAGGGTTTAGGGTTTAGGGCTTAGGGCTTAGGGCTTAGGGCTTAGGGCTTAGGGTTCTGAACTAAAGCTTGCAAGCGATTCATGTGCGGGGCCTCGCAGCTGTTTCTTGAGGTCCAAGAAGGCCAAAACCGCAAAACCCTAAAGTTGCAAAAGTGTAAAGCCCGAGGCTCTTCTTCTATAGCTCTAAGCTCGAAGCCCTGAACCCTCTGGTCAATGCTACACCCTGAAGACCCAGCCTCAACACGAAGCCCCAAACCCCAAACCCGAAACCCCAAACCCTAAACCCTAAACCCTAAACTTTAAACCCTAAACCCTAAACCCTAAACCCTAAACCCTAAACCCTAAACCCTAAACCCTAAACCCTAAACCCTAAACCCTAAACCCTAAACCCTAAACCCTAAACCCTAAACCCTAAACCCTAGCCCTAAACCCGAAACTCCCAGCCATTCCTTGAGCTCTCACCGCGTTTGCCAACATGGCGGTGGATGATCTTCTGCCGGCCCATGGTTTCGAACAAGGCGCTAGCAATTCATGGGGCTTAGGGTTTGGGTTTAGGGTTTAGGGTTTAGGGTTTAGGGTTTAGGGTTTAGGGTTTAGGGTTTAGGGTTTAGGGTTTAGGGTCTCAATCCACAGCATTCGCGCAAGCCCTGAACCCCTCGTTAGTCAGTCCCCGGCCCTTTCCTGGGCTTTGGAGTACTATACTTTAATATTATTAATACTGTTTTTGGTTTTGGGTTCCCATTATAGCTACGTATACCTAAAAAGTATATACTTTTTTTCTGGGTGAGGTAGGTTTCTGGGCTCTTCTGGGTCTGAGGCAGAAAACGAGAGCCTAGGTTAGTGCCCTAAACCCTGACCCTGAAGCCTCAACCGGGAACCCTAAGCACTGAACCTAAACCCTGGACCCGTTAGGGCTTTAAGGGACAGACTCGATTGCAGGAAATGTTTGTTCGGGTTGCCGGTTGGCGATGAAGAGCCACGGCAAACTTAACACTAATTGTGCACCCTAAACGCTGAATAAGCCCTAAACCCTAAAACCCTAAAACCCTAAAACCCTAAAACCCATAAACCCTTAAACCTAAAACCCTGAAGAAACCCGAACGCCGAAGACCCTGAAACCCCTAAACGCCTAAACCCGAACTCCTATACCCAAGCCCCAAAGCGCTTCTCAACACTACTATTTGTTTAAGAACCCCCACCAAGAACATATAATATGCTTCCTTATCCGAGAGCAATACAGGGATCACTGTCTTTTGTGTTTTTTTGGGGGTTCGTAAGCAAACAGTAGAGAAGGTGACGGAGAGCTGCGCCTCTGGATATCTCTTCCGTCGCTGGAGGCAGAGCCTCCGGGGGGGCCCAGGATTTCGTGCTGAATCTAGGGGTCGGAAGGATTACTAGTAGTATTGTCTTCTGGTCCCTAAATGAGTATACTAGACTTAACCCCCCAGAACCCTATTCTAGTTTCTAAGGCCCCTAGAGCAAGCGTTTGCAGGGTTTAACTTCAGGTGGAGCGCATCGACTGTCCTTCCTGTCCTGCGCAGTGTGGGTCAGCCCTTAACTTAGACTCTAAACCCGAAACCTTTGGTTTAGGGTTTAGGGTTTAGGGTTTAGGGTTTAGGGTTTAGGGTTTAGGGTTTAGGGTTTAGGGTTTTGGATATCTTCCCATCTGCAGGATGTAGCTGTGGACGTTGGCGCCAGCGAGGCCCGTTGGTTGCTTGAGCATGTGGATTGTGAGAACTCTCTCATGTTCGAGCAGAAGATGCGCCCGAACCCCAAACCTCAAAACCCAAAGTCCCAAGCCCTAAGCCCTAAACCCTAAACCCTCAACCCTAAACCCTGGTAGATGGCCCCCTTCAACTCCTTCAACTCCTCCATCTCCTCGAAATGCCCTCAACCTGGTTTCTACGGAGGCCTCCTCACAGTACCTGGGGAAGGGGCTGCGAGTCTAGGGCGCCTTAAGAATTAGGGTTTAGGGTTTAGGGTTCAGGGTTCAGGGTTTAGGGTTTAGGGCTAGGGTTTAGGGTTTAGGGTTAAGGGTTAGGGTTTAGGGTTTAGGGTTTAGGGTTTAGGGTTTAGGGTTTAGGGTTTAGGGCTTAGGCCCAGCAAAGTTCCTCCGCTCCTAAGCAACACCCCCCCCCAAAAGCCGATAAAATCCCTAAACACCAGGTTCGTCTCAACCAGCGAGGGCGCGCCATCGTTCTGCCACTGCTAGGGCCTGAGTCTTGAGAATGTTCAGGGTTTAGGGTTTAGGGCTAGGGTTTAGGGCTTAGGCTTCAGATTTCAGGGCTTTGGGGTTAGGGTTTAGGGTGAGGTCTGGAGCTGGGTTTAGGGCCACAAAGGTTTAGTAGGGACCTTCAGAGTCTGTTGGGATTCCCGATATCCCAGAAACCTCAACCACCCCCTGAGGCCCAAACTCTTGTGCCGGGTTGCCGGCTCAGCTCTGTGAGTACGTCTTTGCAGGCCTTCAAAGGCTTTTCGTTCCTTAATCCCCAAACCCTAAACCCTAAACCCTAAACCGTAAACCCTAGAGACCCTCGGCAACATCTTCCGAGTCCGCAGAGCCTTCCCAAAACCCTGAACCCTAAACCCTAGACCCTAAATAAACCCTAGACCCTAGACCCTAAACCCTAGAGACCCTCGGCAACATCTTCCGAGTCAGCAGAGCCTAAACCCTAAACCCTAAACCCTAAACCCTAGACCCTAGACCCTAAACCCTGAACTCTAAACCCTAAACCGCCGTGCAGGCCCGCAGACCTCGCCAAAGATGTGCAGGGTCGTGGCCCCCAGGGCCAGGGGGGGAGGGTTCAGGGCTTCCCTGTGATGCGGTTTAGGGTTTAGGGTTTAGGGTTTAGGGTTTAGGGTTTAGGGGTTAGGGTTTAGGGTTTACGGTTTAGGGTTTAGGGCTTAAGGGTGTAGGGTTTCGGGTTTAAGGGTTTGGTGGGTTTAGGAGGCCTCCCAAGACTGTTTGAAAGACCCCAGGGGCGATATGGAGACTTCTTCTTCAATTTGCACTTTAAGCTGTTTCGGGCCCAACCCAGGGCTGAACCCTAAACCCTAAACCCTAAACCCTAAACCCTAAACCCTACACCCTAAACCCTAAACCCTAAACCCTAAACCCTAAACCCTAAACCTGTTTAGATTTGTAGGTGTCACACAACATGTTTCACAATGAGTGAGCATACACATGCGACATTGGCTCAAGCCGTCAAAAGTGATTGCACCTGCAGTGTTAGTTCTGCCTTAAACTCCGTTCATGGTAGCGGAGCTGTCGGTTTGAATGGACAGCAGACGCGACCTTGCTGACGAAAGTGCTGAAAGTGACAACGAAGGTTTTGCTGTGGTGCAAGCTCCCGCTGTGCACCGCTGGGAACGCTTGATCCGTTTACTCTATCGGATTAGGCGACTGCAAAGGATTTGGGGCCTCCTGGGCCAGCATCTCCAGACTTTCGTCCAAAGCAGCGAGTTCCGCCGTCGGCTGGCTAATCGTTTGCGATGAGCAGCCAGGAACAGCAACAGGCACAAGTGACTGCAGCGCAAGTGATGCAGGAGCTTGTGAATCTGAGAAACGAACTCACAAGGCAATGCGAAGAGAATGATCGGCTAAGGGCCGAGCAAAGCACAGCACTTGAGCGAGTACGGCAAGAGAGTGCAGCTCAAGTTGCGGAAGTGCGAGCACAGGCGCATACGGCAGTGCAGCAGGCGACGGCTCAGATGGGCATGATGCCACAGTTGGTGAGCGACATGGTCAAGTCGAACAAGGAACTGGTTGAGGCCATGGCAAAGAAAGGAGGACCAAACGAGAAGCTCTGTTTGGTCGACACAAAGGGCCTGGGAAAGCCGACGACCTTCTCAGGTGAGAGTGAACAGTTCCTACCATGGAGGCATCGAATGTCGAGCTACGTTTGTTCGATCCACCATGATCTGCAAGAAGTTCTAGAGTGGCTCGAAGAGAGGGAGAAGCCATTCTCCTCGGAGGAGTTGGACACAGCCTTTGGAGAAAAGGCGTTGGAGGCGGATCGAGTTCCCAGACTGCAAGAAAAGTCGAGGGAGCTCGCGAACGCGCTCCAAATGGTTACCTCGAAGGAACCATTTACGATCGTGTGCAATTGCCAGAACAACGGGTTCGAGGCATGGAGACGCCTTGCGAGGCGATACGATCCTGCGACTGCAAGCAGGAAGCGCACGATGTTGAGAGCGATTATATCGCCCCAGAAGCAGAAGCTGGAGAATCTCCCTCAGGCCATCGAAGAATGGGCCGACGCTGTGCGCACTTACGAGAAGCGCAAGGACAGCACAGGGCGACGAACGACCCTGGCTGATGAGATAAAGATGGCAGCACTGGAGGCAATGTTGCCACAGGAGCTGGAGTCTCACATCCAGTTGAACCAGAGCCGGTTCTCCACGTACGACGACGTGCTCGACGAGGTGACTCGCTTCATCGAGTACAAGACAGGAAAGAGTCTGAAGGTGATTTCTGCAGCCGCAGCCAGTGCGGCGAGCAAGGATGATCCTATGGACCTGTCGTATGTGGAGAAAGGCAAAGGAAAAGGAGCAAGCAAGGTCGTGTGCCACAACTGCGGCAGGAGCGGACACTATGCCCGCGACTGCTGGAGCAATGGAGGCAAAGGTTCGCAGCAGCAACGGGGCTCACCCAAAGGTCCAGGGCAACAAGGAGGAAAACCAAGCAGCAAAGGAGGAAGAGGGAGCCCCAAAGGAGGAAAGGACAAAGGAAAAGGTAAGAAAGGAAAAGGCAAAAAAGGGAAAAGGCAAGAAAGGTGGTAAGAACAAGAAACACGTAGGAAACATAGAAGAAGGAGGAGAGAACACAGGAGAAGGAAACCAGGACGAGAACTGGCAGGAAGGAGAAGAGGATGAAGGCTGGGAAGACGGAGACTGGGGAGAAACCTGGGAGGACGGTTGGGAGGAAGCAGAAACAAACAACCTCTACGTGGGAGCGTTAGAAAGAGAGAGCCCGAAGAGAGAGAAAGAGAAGAAGAAGAAAGAGTCGAAGCCAGACCCCGGCAGTCGTGGCTCAAGTAGGGAAGAGGGCTCCGGCCCGACCGTGCTTGGGGCCATGGCGCCAAAGAACCCGAAAAGGAAGGTTCCTCCAAAGGAGGAAAAAGACGAGGATGAAAAGGAGCTGGAAGCTCTGGAAGAGCAAATGGACAGAGCAAGGGGTCAGTTCCAAGACCTGAAGGAAGAGACGTTCCCGCGGCGAGGTGCCAGGGCAGTCCAGCTTCGGAGCGTTTTCGTCTTCGTCGCGAGGACCTCCGGAGAGAGTGCGCGAGCCAAAGGCCGGAAAGAAAGAGGAGAAGAAGGAGGTGAGGTCTAAGGCTTTGGACACGGCACCCTGGAAGCGCGTTTCGCGCTACCGGGAGCCACCAGTGCCTGAGCCCAAGACCCCTCCAAAGGCGAAGCAAGAAAGGCCGAGAACACCGCCGAAGTCACAACCGCCTTCCAGGACCAAAAGTCCGCTTCTCAAGCCGAAGGTAGAGCCAAAGAGAACAGCCAAAGTCACCACCTTCGAAGCCAAAGGTAGAGCCGAAGAGAACAGAACCAAAGTCACCACCTTCGAAGCCTCCACCTAGAAGTGAAGAAGTGCAGCCAAGAAGCGAAGAGGTGGAGAGACAACTTGCTACCACAGCGCCGAAGTGGGGAGCCTCAAGGAGCCAAAGACCTGTGGCGAAGGCAAAGCCAAAGCTTCTAAGGAGTCCGGCGTCTTGGGCAGGAATGCGCTTCAGGGAACGTGTGGCCCACCAAGATGCCATACGAGACAAGAAGCCCAGAGGCACCGTCGGGGAGTCCTTACTGAAGAAGCAAGGCGAGGCCTGCTCCACCTGCGTGTCGAGGCGACTAAAGTTCAGGAGCAAAGCGTCCCTTCTGCTGAAGAAGAGGATGAAAGAGTACAAGGCAGCAGCTGCAAAAGCAGCGGGCTCCCACTACGCCAGGAAGGTTTTCGAAAGAGAAAAGCTTGTGAGGGCCGACAGGCCCAGCAAGGCTGAACTGAGGAGTGCAAAGGTAGCCGAGAAGGTGAAGCAAAGGGAGGAAGAAGCCGCTGGTGAAGAAGAAGAAGAAGACAAGTTTTCCTTGGAGCCGGAGAGCTCCGAGGACGAAAGCGACTTCGAGGATGACCCTCCAAGCGAGGGGCCCGAGGAACCCAAGAAGGAAGAAAAGAAGAAGCCACCAAAGCAGGAAGAAGGAACCGAAGGAGCAACCGCGATCACGGCAAGCACCTCGAGCAGCATGCAGAGGATGCTAGCGTCGGGTCTTATGGAGACCAACCGTGCGAACCTCGCGGTCTTGGACCAGAGGATCGCGACAAAGAGAGAGAAGCTCGAGGGACGCGGCAGTGACCCAGAGCTGGAAGCCGAGATCGCGAGCCTGGAAGACGAGCGGAAGCGCCTGAAAGAGGAGCGTGAGCGCCTCAGGGCGCAGCAAGCGGGCGTGAAGAAAAAGGAACCCGAACACCGCAGAGACCAGTCGGTGCACGACGTGCGCTACAAACGCCAAGTGGAAAAGGGAGACAGCCACTGGAAGGCTTGGCGTGCGGAAAAGGGACGAAGGAGAGCGCAAGAGCACAGACGCAGCGGTGTGGGCGAAAGAGCAAAGGAGAGGATCGAGGCCGACAAGAAGTGGCACGCCCGGCACGACGTGAAAGTGAAAAAGGGCGACTTCCGCGATAACCAGAAGGAAGAGGTCGACGGCATCGACACGGAGGTTATCCACAGCGATGGGACGGAGGCCAAGCCCGAGCGGCGAAAGGACTACCGCCCCCTCACGAAAGCCGAAAGGACGAGCCACCGCGTGGATGCCGACGACGAGGAGGAGCTCTACCGGAAGGAGCTCGAAAAGCAGGAAAGGCCGAAGGCGACCGGGCGCTACTCGGCGGACCCGTCGATTGCGGCCGAGCAGAAGAAGAAGAGGAACCAAAAGAGAAACCAAAGGCGCAACAAGCTGAAGAGGAAGCTTGGGTCGACCTGGGATCCAGAGCACAAAGGAAAGAAGAAGGTCAAGAAAAGCGAAGACGACGACGAAGAGACTGTGCACTGTGAAGACTACGACGACCGCCGCGACCCAAGAGGAGAAGACCCGGAGGACCCGGGCGAAGGAGGCGTGCGCCAATCGGTGCACAGCTTCGAGACCGTGGATGCTGCCAGCCTGGGCGCTTCGCCAGGCGTGGCTAGCGTCGAGGTCAACTTTGACACGGGAGCGGCCGTGACCGTTCTGCCTGAGAAGTACGTGACGCAGCCAAAGGACAACGGCGTCCGCTACAAGACGGCGTCAGGTGAGGCGCTGAAAGACCAAGGAAAAGCCGAGGTCACCGGCACTTTGTCGGGAGGCCGTGGGGCTACGATCACCGGCCGAGGCGCCGGGGTCCACCGCATACTCCTGTCAGGAGCACAGGCGTGCAAGACGCATTTTGCGTTTCTGCACGGAACAGGAGGCTTGCTGGTCCCAAAAGGAACTGCTTTCGCTAAGGAGGCCGACGAGGCGTTGCGCCAGTTGGCTTGGAAGCACAAGGGTGTCGGAACCAAGATGCAAGTGAAGAACGGCATCTACGTGTTTCCTCTGCAAGACGAGAAGAAAGGAGTGAAGGGCGGAAGCAAGGGCCAAGACGGCCTGGGTTTCACGGGGCGTCCGTAGACGGTGTAAGGCCCAACGGGCTTAGCGTTTCACCCCTAGACGAAGAGGCTGAGATGGTTGAGGAAGCGGCCAAAAGGAAAGCCGCCGGAAAGGCAACGCTCAAGGTGTTAGCCAAGGAAGACAAGAAGAAAGAGAGAGAGCGAGAGAAGAAAGAGAGGAAAACGACACAACAAGGAGCAAGCGCAAGCATACAAGTGCCAGCAGCAGCGCCAGCAGCACAACAGCAACAACAGCAGCAGCAGCCAAGCGAGGAAAAAGGAGGCACTGAAGACGACCGCTTTGCCGAGGAGCCGGAGGCTCCAGGCGAAGAACAACAGAGGGCGATAGTGCCGAAGAGCCCAGACCAGCCAACGGCTGACCAGATCGCACAGCACGAAGCCTCGGGGCACGCGGTGCACCGTTCCTGGTGCGTCCACTGCCAGAGAGCGCGAAAGATGGTGAATCCACATTACCGGATTCGGAGAGCCGAACTTGAGACATCTTTGCCGACGCTACACATGGACTACTTCTTCCTGGGCAAAGAAAAGCAGGAAGACGACGTGATGCCGCACCTGGTGGTTCGGTGCGACAAAACGCAGCGCACTTGGGCAACTTCGTTGCCCGAGAAAGGCACGCATGCGTACAACGTCACGTGGTTGGCCAGCGTGATACGCGAGGCCGGATGGAAGAGGATGTGTTTATTCTCAGATAATGAACACGCCCTCCGTGCGCTCAAACTCAAGGCCTCCGAAGAAGTCCAAAATGTAGTGTTCGACTTGAGAGAGAGTCCTACAAGTACGGAACACGAGAATGCGCCATCGAACGGCATAGCCGAGGCCGCAGTGAGAGAGGTGAAGCGAATGGTCCGAGCTATCCTGTCGGAGCTGGAGACAAAGCTTAAGATCGAGGTGGGCGTGGACCACCCGATTCTCGCCTGGATCGCGAGGCATGCAGCGTTCTTGATGACACGTTTTCGCATTGGCGAAGACGGGAAGTCAGCTTACGAAAGGACGCTGGGCCGACCGTGGAGGCGACCTACCATTGTCTTTGGCGAACAGGTGATGTTCAAGCCAGTTGGTTCGAGACACAAGCGAGGAAGCCTAGATGCAAGAGTTTGCATGGGACGTTACGTCGGAACTGCGTCGAGGAACGCAGACTTGCTGATCATGACGTCCGAGGGTATATCCCGGGGCCACTCCTTGCACAGGAGGCCCGAGGATGAGAAATGGCCTGTTGAAGGTTTCGACGTGCTACGCGGATTGCCTTGGAGGATGTCCGGTCCACAAGAGCGAGCGTCGCCCAACCGAGTTGGTATGCCCGCTCTCGAAGGCGAACAACCCGCGCCACAACACCGAGACTTCAAGGCACGCAACCTGTACGTCATGAAGTCCGACATTGAGCTGTACGGCTACACGCCTCAGTGTCCGGGATGCGATGCGCAGCTGATGGGTCTCCCGCAGCGAGCGCACAATGACGAGTGCAGGATGAGAGTGCAGAGAAGACTGCAAGAAACCGACGAGGGAAAAGAAAGAGTGAAAAGGGCCCAAGAGCGAGTTGAAAAGGACTACGGAAAGCGGGTCAAAAGAGACCAACCCGCGCTGGAAGGAAGACCTGCCCCCGACGCAATGGATGTTGCAGCAGAGGAAGCGGCAGGCGCACCTTTGTCCAGACCAATGGAGGTCGAGGACCGCGCCGAGCCGAAACAGCGGAAGCGCGCAGCGTCCAAGGACGTCGAGGACCTTTACCGGGAAGAGCCCAGCACGAGGGCTACCGATGGTCCAGATGTCGAGGTCATTGGAGTACACGTGCAAGGGGGAGCAAGTGGCTCTGCAGGACCCGGCCTGGACCACTCACGCCAACAAGCACGAGCAGATGCAGAAATGTACGACGCAGCAACGGCGAATCCGCCGCCAGCCAACGAGGAAGTGCGAATGAACTTGATTACGCGGATGTTCGAACAAAAGGGGCTCAAGTGCAGCCCGACCGAAGCGAAGGCCATAAACTCTATGGTTCTACAGTTGGGAGGTAATGGCAATTCAGCTGTGCCCTGGAGCATGGTGAATGAAGGCATTATCTTGCCAATGGACCAAGAGCCGCCGATGTTCGCTCAGGCTGAGCATTTGCGTTTCTTCGAAAAGCTGGAACAAGTGAAGCCAAAGCTTCTGGTGGGCAAGCTGCCCACTGGACCCTTCCAGTCAGTACAACGTGCTTTCGACATGACCAACAAGATTGGAGTCGAGACCAGACGCGGAAATTTGAGGAAGGCCCGATCTCAACTGGGGCTTTGCTTTGAGGCCTTCGAGGCACAGAAGGAAGCCGGAAACTACTTCCTCTATGAGTGCCCAAGGGGAACTAAGTCCTGGGAGCATGAACTTGCTCAAAGGATGGGTTCGTACTTGGTTGAAGGCCCAATGTGCAAGTGGAAAGTTGACGAAAGTGGAAAAATGATTGCAGGCCAATCCGGCAAGAAGCGAACCCGCTGGATTACTAATTCGGCGACGGTTGCAACAGCGCTGGAAAAGCTATGCAAGGGCAATGCGAAGGTGTGGAACCGAACGCTAAGCTTCAAGGAGGGGATCGTGACGGCCAAGGCCGAGTATCCTCCGAAGCTTGAAAGAGCACTACTGGCAGGAGTGCGAGCACAACTGGTTCTGGATGGAGAAATGAAGGAGGTGGGCCATGTGGGTGGACCTGACCCACACGAGGAGCCACCGCTCGAAGAGTATCTCCATGATACCTTACCCAAGGCTGGGCAGCTTCACGTAAGCGAGCCCGTCATAGACGCAAACACAGGGGCACAACTTGATGCCAGAAAGGTTGCGGAAGCAAGAGCGTCAGAACTTGCCTGGGTGAAAAAGCAAGGTGTGTACGAGAAAGTCGAAGAGAGCGTGTGTTGGGACGAAACAGGTCGTCCGCCCATAACCTTGAAGTGGGTAGACCGCAACAAAGGGGATGATGTTCGGGAAAACTACCGCAGTCGTTTGGTAGTCCGCGAGGTCAAGTCACAGGGACAAGCGGCGTTGATACCAGACTACGCACTGTTTTCCTCAATGCCACCTCTGGAAGGATTGAAGATCCTATGCAGTCTGCTGACGACACTCAAGAGGTCAAAGAGCGGAAAGAAGCTCACGCTGAAGCTGACAGACATATCACGTGCACACTTCTATGGAAAAGCAGAACGACGTGTGTTTGTCACACTTCCCGAGGGAGATGAAGCTCCCGGCTTTTGTGGTCTGTTGAAACGGACCATGTATGGCACCCGTGATGCCTCAGCTGTATGGCAGAGATCGTACACAAGCCTGTTACGCAAGCACGGGTTTGTCGTGGGAAAAGCATATCCGTGTACCTTTTATCATGCCGAAGCCGACGTGAGATTATTGGTGCATGGGGACGATTTCCTAGTCTTGGCAGACGAAGATGGACATCGCTTTGTAGACAAAGTACTGTCTGAAGAGTACGAGTTCAAGTGTGATGGCCACATAGGACCTGAGTGTGAAAAGGATAGCATGACTGTCCTGAACCGGGTCGTGAGCTATGACAGCCAGACAGGAACTGTTACGTACGAAGCGGATCCAAGGCACGCGGAAGCCCTAGTGCGCGACCTTGGACTGGAGTCTGCGAAGGCGGCCAAAACGCCAGCAGAAAAGAAAAAGGGAAGTGACCTGAAAGCGATGCTTGAAGCACAGCCGTTGAATGCCGAACTTCAGAAAGCATATCGGTCTCATACGATGAGGGCAGCGTTCCTTGCGCAGGACCGTCCAGACATTGCCGAGGCTACGAAGAGCTTAGCGCGGCACATGAAAGAACCCACAGAGTGGGCATGGGCCGATCTGAAGAGGCTTGTCCGCTACTTACGCGGAAATCCACGGCTGATCTACGAGTACCACCCGCAACGGTTCAGCAAAGAGATTGTGATGTACTGCGACTCAGACCACGCTGGTTGCCTCATCACGCGGAGGTCAACCACGGGACTGGTGACAATGCTTGGATCGCACTGCGTGAAACACTCAAGCAACGTGCAAAGCACGATCTCCCTCTCGAGTGGAGAGAGCGAGTTTTACGCTATGGTTCGAGCAGGGTCAATAGGTCTGTCGCTACAGGCGATGCTAGAAGACTGGGGATTAAAGGTCGGTCTGCGGATTCGATCTGATTCCTCGGCGGCCCGAGGCACTACTCAGCGCCAGGGCCTGGGTCAAGCACGCCACGTGCAAACAAGATACTTGTGGGTGCAAGAGAAAGTCGCCACGCGAGCTCTGGAGCTAGAGCGTGTAGGCACGGAGAAGAACTACTCCGACATCTGCACCAAACCAATGCCCGAAGTGGCAATGCTCAAACACCTCAAGAACATGGGATTGCGTTTTCATGTTGGACGAGCCGGAGCAGCCAAACGGCTCGTGTGAAGCCAATGGGTCAAATGACCACCTGGCTTAGGAGGGGTGTTTAGATTTGTAGGTGTCACACAACATGTTTCACAATGAGTGAGCATACACATGCGACATTGGCTCAAGCCGTCAAAAGTGATTGCACCTGCAGTGTTAGTTCTGCCTTAAACTCCGTTCAAAACCCTAAACCCTGAAGTGCTTCCCATGCTCCACAGGGAGGTCTTTGGAGGGACCTAAAAAGCGCCCTAAGCCCTAGGAGCCCTGAACTCTGCAAAGAAAAACACTTCGCTTTAGGCTTTAGGGTTTAGGGTTTAGGCTTTAGGCTTTCGGCTTTCGGCTTTAGGCTTGAGGGTTTAGGGTTGAGGGTTTGGGGTTTAGGGTTTAGGGTTTGGGGTTATCCTGAAGCCCTAAGCTAAGCCCTAAACACCCTAAACACCCTAAACCCTCATGCCTCCCCCAAACTTTAAACCCCAAGCCCGAAACCCTAAGCCCTAAACCCACAGAAGCCCCTTTTGGCTCCAGCTATGCCCTTTCTTACCCTACAACATTTTCACAAAGAAAGCAACACCTCAAACTCCAGGTAGGCCCCAGAGCCCCCCCAGAGAGCCCTAAGCCCTCTACCCTGTCACCCCTACAAAACCCGAAACCCTAAACCCTAAACCCTAAGCCCTAAACCCTAAACCCTGAACCCTAAACCCTAAACCCTAAACCCGAAGCCCCTTCAGCCCCAGGCGAGGCCTCGGCGAAATTCTCCAAGAAGTAACTCGTCTTTTTGGGGGTCCGATCTCTCAAGGAGGGTTCGGTTTAGGGTTTAGAGCTTAGGGCTTAGGGCTTAGGGCTTAGGGCTTAGGGTTTAGGGTTTAGGGTTTAGGGTTTAGGGTTTAGGGTTTAGGGTTTAGGGTTTAGGGTTTAGGGTTTAGGGTTTAGGGTTTAGGGTTAGGGTTTAGGGTTTAGGGTTTACAGTAGGGGGTTGATTCGGTTTGGCGTGTTGGGTGTTGAAAAGTTGTTTATGGTTTGTCGGGTGCATACGGGTTCTTCGGCTTGAAGGCTTTACGGGGTGTATGGGGCTTTTGTAGTACTAAACCCTGAACCCTAAACCCTAAACCCTAAACCCTAAACCCTAAAGGTCCCTTTCTCCCTCGCTGGGCTTCCATCATGGTATCTTCCAAGCACCAATCAGTTTAGGCTACCCCAGTGAAACGCCTTCAATCTGGAGCAAACCTATGCCCCAAGCTCAAACCCGAAATCCCACCCCCGAGGCGCGCACAGCTTTTGTTGGCCTGGCCGACGCGCGCAGTTCGGGAGGCTCCCGCTGCTGACGCTCCGACTCCCAGGAAGGAGGCACGCCAAGTGTAGTGCCCCAGGGCCTTAGGATTTTGGGTTAGAGGGTGGCTGTATAGGGTGAGTATACGGTTCAGGGTTTGGGGCTTTGGAGGAGGCACACAAAGTTTAGGGCCTTAGGGTTTAGGGTTGGGCCATAGGGTTGTAATGGTATAGTCGTTGTGTTTTTGTGTCTAGGGCTTTGTTTGGCACACGGGCTTTCAGGTTTTAGAGTTTGGAATTGCGTACTCCTGGGCTTGGATCTGAGATGTGTAGGGCTTGGTCATATTCAGGGCTCAGGGCTTTCCTCGGTTTCTCAAAGGGCTCTTCGGTTTCGGTTTCAGGGGCAGGATTCACTCTCAAGCCCTAAACCCTAAACCTTAAACTCTAAACCCTAAACCCTTTGGGGGCTGGGAGTTTGGGTTTAGGATTCAGGGTTTCTTGTTTAGAGGGTTTGACAGAGGGCCCGTGCCACAGAAGCCTAAGCCCTCTATCACTTAACCCACATAAAGACAGGGGTCGAAATAAGTACTAATCGTATTCCCTTATGGTCCCCGTATTGGTATACTATAATATACTAAATATACTACAATCTACCAGAATATACTATAATATGCTTTAACATACTATAATAACACACCCAAAACCCTGTTCTGCTATTTTTTAAGGCCCCTACATCAAAGGTCTCTGCTAGAGAGCCTCGGTCCCTAAGCCTCATACCCTTTTGAAGGCAATGGCCTCCAAAGGGGGGCCCAAGCCCGAAAAGTCGCGAAAAGCCTTGAACTCCTACAGAAACCTTGCAGAAACCCTACAGAAACTTCACAGAAACCCTACAGGAACCCCACAGCTACCTTACAGAAATCTTACAGAAATCTTGCAGAAATATTACAGAAACCCTACAGAAACCCTACACAAACTCTAGCAACTGCTCGCTTGCCAATTGGAACCAGAAGCCTGCCAAGCAGCACTGGACAGCTGGGGCCGTTTGCTCTTCGGTGGTGTACCCATGGTATGGAAGGAGCACTAGCAGAACAGCAAGTCAAAGAAGAATACTCATGGGTTCCCCCCTGCTGCCCCCCTTGAAACTACCCCCCCTGGGTTCCCCCTAGGTTCCCCCCATAAGTATAAGGCTACTATTTCGGGATAAGTAAGCCAACTGAAGGATATTTAAGGGGGGAAATCCAGGGGTGGTAGTTTAGAGGGGGGGTTAGTAGGGAAACCCATGAAAGATTGGAAGAAGAAAAAGCCCGAATAAGCCCGATGTCAAGGAGAAACTCCCAAGAAGATGGGCGCGGCTAGCAGGGCTGCCATTCTTGGGCTTGTGGAAGCTTTTTTCAGGTCGCCCTGAACCCTAAACCCCAAACCCTAAACCCTAAACCCCAAACCCCAAACCCTAAACCCTAAACCCTAAACCCAAAGCCCTAAACCCTAAACCCTAAACCCTAAACCCTAAACCCTAAACCCTAAACCCTAAACCCTAAACCCTAAACCCTAAACCCTAAACCCTAAACCCAAAGCCAACCCTTGAACTCCAGGAGCCGTCTCCAGATTCTTCGCCGCCGTCGGATGCGCCCGCCTTCGGCAGCCGCTGGGCTCAAGCCTGCGAAGCCTCCAACCCTAAACCCTAGCCCTAAACCCTAGCCCTAAACCCTAAACCCTAAACCCTAAACCCTAAACCCTAAACCCTAAACCCTAAACCCTAAACCCTAAACCCTAAACCCTAAACCCTAAACCCTAAACCCTAACCTTAAACCCTAAACCCTAAACCCTAAACCCTAAACCCTAAACCCTAAACCCTAAACCCTAAACCCTAAACCCTAAACCCTAAACCCTAGCCCTAAACCCTAAACGCTAAACCCCAACAAAATCCTGCGAACAAGCCCCAGGGGCCTGCAACCAGAAGCCCTCATTAAGCCCTGGCCACCCTAAGCCCTATAAACCTACAATTAACTCTATAAATGCTAGTAAGCCCTATAGACCATTCTAGACCATTCTGAATCATTCTAAACCTATAATAGACCCTGTAAACCATTATAAACCTACAATAAACCCTGTAAATGCTGAAAAGCCATCTAAACCATTCTAAGCCTATAATAAACCCTATAAATGCTAATGGACCCTATAAACCATTCTAAACCTACAATAAACCCTATAAATGCTCATAAACCCTATAAACCATTCTAAACCCTAAACCCTAAACCCTATAAACCATTCTAAACCCCTGAACCCGAACCTATATTCACAAACCTTAAGCCCTCAGGTGGGCTCGGCCATCTGGAGTCGCAGGATAGATTAGGGTTTAGGGTTTAGGGTTTAGGGTTTAGGGTGTAGGGGTATAGCTTAGTGTGGAGGGGCTCTGCTTTAGGATTGTGCGCTTTGGCGGAGGTCTTAGGGTTTAGGGTTCAGGGCAGTGTTTAGGGTTTAGGTTAGGGGATAGGGCTCCGGCAGTATTGCATTGAGGATCTTCTATTCAGGCTTCACAGGGCTTCGTTGCTTGTTTTGCCTTATTAGAGCATCTTTCTGGACATTGGGTGTGCAAAGCCTGATTTAGGATGGTCTCTTGGTGCCTAGCTCCATATTTTGCAAACGGACCTTCTGGGCCCGAAACCTGAAACCCTGTCTTGCGTCTCTTTGGCTGCGCAGCACAAACTCCGCGCCAGACAAAACTCATCGTATTGTAAGGTCAACACCCTCCGAGTTCTAGGACGCAGGGAGGAGCTTCAGGGTGTGTTAGCGTTGTAGGATCTTAGGGTTTATAGGGCTTATGTAGGGTTTCCCAGTTAGTAGGGCTCTGGGATCTTAAGAACCATAGATCCCGCTGCTGAGTCCGAGGCATCTGGAACAAGAACAGCGCCTCGAACGCATGGGTTGCATGAGACTAGACTTGGCGGCCATGATGAAGTAGGGTTTATATTGCTGTTATTGGTGAGTGTATAGAAGGTTCCTGCTTAATATTGGTGAGTGTATATACTTGGTGTCCTTTTGGGGGGTACAATTCCCTACTTCATATGAATTTCAGGACTTCGGTTCCAGTCCCCCAAAATCCAGGGTTGAGGCTTTTGGGGTTTTGTCATAACCCTAAACCCCATGCCCTAAACCCTAAACCCTAAACCCTAAACCCTAAACAGGGGGCAGTTTTTTTTTTTTTAAGGGTTGGCTTTTGGGGCTTTGAGTGCGGGCTTCGGCGCCCTGTCTCCTCAGAGTCCCTACTACTCCCTTAAAGGCTCCCTAAGCTTCCCTCAGGCTCCCTAAACCCTAAACCCTAAACCCTAAACCCTAAACCCTAAACCCTAAGGCTCCCTGGGTACCCACCCCCCTTTGAACCCCCCTCCCTTAAGAACTCTATGGAGCCGATACGCTCCATGGGGACAAAGTGCTGGAGCATGAGGTGCTGCACCCGAGGGTTTAGGGTTTAGGGTTTAGGGTTTAGGGTTTAGGAAATATGCAGTACCCCATGACCTGATAAACTCCTAAACCCCGAATGGTATGGCAGCACCCTACGCGCAGGCTTCGCACTTTCTCAAGGGAAGCCTGGCAAGTCAGAAAACGTTTCCCGGGCCTGAACATTTCCAACAAATCGACGGATGTTGTTCAGTCACTGTCACCGAGCCACAGGAAGATAAGCATCTGGTAAGTCCCGAAATCAAAAGTTCTTGAAAACAAGCACATCACCCAGTCTTACCGCAGTTTCAGAAAGG